TTTACTATTTTTCCAAGTGATTTGACTGTTTTTAGTCACATTCTTATTTTTTAAAATTGAATTTACAAAAAAAAAAATTAATTTAAATTTATCTTAAAAATATTATCTGCTCAGAGACATTCTATTGTATTTATAAGATTGTAATGAAAACGAGACAGGAAATTATGGAGAGCAATGATTGCCAATATTCTGAAGGGACAGGCAACATAATTGAATTAAAACAAGAAAGTACTTTCAGTAGTTTTATATACTAATCAACAAACAACAATATTTTTTGTCTCTAGTTATGAGAAATAAATGTTACTTAATTTTGTTTTTGAAGAATTTCTTTTTTTCTTTTCATATGAAATGTATCAATAAAATAAAACGTCTATAATGAATTTCATTAAATTATATATCTTCTTATATTTCTATTTTTCTTCTTACTGAAAAGTATAAGACCTGAAGCAAAAAATAAGCCAATTATTTTTTAGCTTCTTATTTCAAAATATTCCATGTCCATATACTTTCTTCTATATACCATGTCCCTTCAGGGCATTGGCGATCATGGCTCGCCACAATTTCCCATCTTTTGTAACTCTTAATAAATTTTTTATTATCTCTCTTAAACATTCCTCCAACATAGATTAACTCAGGTAGGTTATGCATTGTTTCCCTCTGTCCCTCTTGCTTTCAATATGTCCTGTAAGTATTAAATTTTCCAAGCCCATTTTCCTCATTATGTGTCCTTGAAATTTAAACTCACTCTTTCTGATTCTAAGCATGTGTCCTTTTTGTTTGCATTTTTTATAATACTTTGTTGTTGCTTAAACATTCAGTTCATAGTATTCTCAACATCTTTCTGTAGAACCACAATTTTATTGCTTCAAGTCTATTCTTCATTGATGACAAGATATCCAGCATTCACTACCATATAGGTGGACTGATATCACATAGCAGTTCAGTACTCTTTTTTTTTGTTGTAACAAAATTTTTATTTCTCAATATTTTGCTTAGCTTTTGGAAAGCATCTTTCACTATCCCAATGCATCTTTTGGATTTCAGTGTCATACTTTCTATCCTCTGTTAAAACACTTCCCAGATATTTAAACTTTTGTACTGGTCAGATTTTGGTATCTCCAATTTATAATTTGTATGCTTGGCCATTCCTTTTGCTAACAGACATACATTCTGTCTTCTTGCAATGTTAGTGCTTTCTTCTTGCATTCCTTCAATACCTTCTGTAGAAGAATTTGTAGCTTTCTTTCTTTGTCTGCTATCAACACTGTGTTCTCTGGATATTTTATATTGTTAAGATCATGGCTGGTAGGACTTCTAATTTTCTTAAAATTGCCTCATTGTATAGGCTGAATAAGTCTGGTGAGAAGACACATCTTGAATATGTCGAGAGTTTTCATACATTTATTAATGCTTCCTTAATCACAACTATTTTCTTGTTTCATGGTTTTAATGATGCTTTAGATTTCAAAATTGTGATGTATATATATTTACACTATTTTATTTAAATTTTAAAATTTCTTTTTCTCTTATTTTTCTTATTATTTGATTATAAACAATACTGCAACCTCACCCACCCAAGAGCATCCATGTGACCCTCATATTAACCACTACTGTTGGTTTGGAAACCACTAGTAGAATAAGTAAAAATAACTTGTATAACAAAACTATTTATTTTTTTGTATCAAGGAAGTATTTGAAATCACAAGTTAAACATAATACATCATTGTTATTGTTTGCAGTAATTGTCAGAAATTAAATTTTAATTGTTTTTTTTTACAATGTAATTCCTTTGTGTTGACCTGATAACGTTTAATATGCATAACTCTTTCTTTGCCATGATGTCATGCATGATGACTTTAGATGATTCATTTCTAGAACTAGATACATCTTATTTTTAACAAATTAGTCTTTCTATATCTTTAGTTATTCTACTACAATAACAACATTATAAGAAAAAGAGAAAGAAACAACATACTTTAGGTAGTTTCATATATAAGTAAACAAATAAAAAACTTAGAAAATAGCTGCTTAGAAAAATAGATATTTTATGTTTATCAGTAGAACGTCAAGGAACTCATGATTTGGTTTGATAATATTCCTTTAACAAAACTTTACATTTACACCTTGTTTTGATGTTTTCAAAGTTCAAATAAATTTAAATATCTGGCAAGTGTTTTAAGAGATGACAAAAAAAAATGACACTAAAATCTGAAGGTGCATTTGAATAGCAAAAGATGCTTTCCAAATGCTAAGCAAAGTATTAAGAAATAATAAAAATTTTATTAGACACAAAGAAAAGAATGCTGAACTGCTATGTAATATCAATCCTCTTAAATGGCAGTGAATGCTGGACATTTTCCTCACTGATGAAGAGGCGGCAATAAAAATGTGATTTACAGAAAGATGCTGAGAATGCCATAGATAGAACATGTAAACAATAAGGAGGTTTAAAGGAAAATGGAAGCAAAAAAACACACTTCCACTAACAGTCCAAAAGAGGCAGTTAAATTTTCTAGGACACATAATGTGGAAAGCAAGTTTGGAAAAATTGACATTCACAGAGCATATTGAAGGTAAGAGAGACAGAGTGAAACAGTGAGAGCCAAATTAGCTTAAATAAATAGATGATAGTACAGGGAATTGGAAGAGTAGTAAAAAGACACACATTAAGAGCTACAAAGGATAAAAAGTTGTAGTTTGTCCCACAAAGGATAGGAAGTCACATGATCACCCATATCCTGAAGGGTCATAGCACATAAAAGTTAATAGATGTTTTCTTTAAGTTCTAATTAATTTTGACTTTAAAAAAAATAGGCATTTACTCTTTTTTATAAGAGAGTGTAAATATTTCATGCACAGAACTAAGAAAATTTATAGATGAAAAAAGATAAAAAAATTCAATGATAAAAGTGAGATAATTCTTATAAATAATAATCAATAATTATTTGTTGTCTGGTAGAACAATGCAGATTTGTTAAAAACACTGGAACAAGGAATGCAATATTTATGCTAAGAATGATATCAGAAAAAGCAATACAAATGCAAAAGGATCTGCACCTGTGTTTTATAGGTTATGCAAAAGTGTTTGATATAGTACATCACAAAGAATTGTTTAAACTGATACATAACCATGACATATTTGAGAAGGATATTAGAATAACCCAGAATCTATACTGGCAGCAAAGTGCCTGCATATGGATAGAAAATGAGTTCAGTAAATATACAAAAATAATAATAGGTGTTAGACAAAGATGTGTCTTCTCACTAGATTTATTCAGCCTTTATAGTAAGTCATTTCTGAGAAAATTAGTTGTCCTGCCAGGATTCATTATTGGCAGCCACAGTCATAACAACATTAGATATGCAAATGATACAGCCTTGATAGCAGACAAAAAAAGAAAGCTACAAGTTTTTCTACAGACGGTATTGAAGGAAAGCATTAGATATGCAAATGATACAGCCTTTGATAGCAGACAAAAAAAAAAGCTACAAGTTTTTCTACAGACGGTATTGAAGGAAAGCATTAGATATGCAAATGATACAGCCTTGATAGCAGACAAAAAAAGAAAGCTACAAGTTTTTCTACAGACGGTATTGAAGGAAAGCATTAGATATGCAAATGATACAGCCTTGATAGCAGACAAAAAAAGAAAGCTACAAGTTTTTCTACAGATGGTATTGAAGGAAAGCGAGAAGAAAGCACTAACATTGAAAGAAGATGGAATGCATGGTTGTCATTATAAATTCAATGTACTAGAATCAAATAAGTACAAAAGTTCAAATATCTGGGAAGTGTTTTAACACAGGATGAAAAGTGTGACACTGAAATCCAAAGGTACAACATATTGAGCAATAAAAAGATTTTATTAGAAAGAAAAATAAAGAGTACTGAACTGTTATGTGTTAGGTCAATACAAAGGAATTGCCTTGTATAAAATCAATTTAAATTTTTAATTTGTAACAATTACTGCAAATATTAATGAACTATTTTGTTTAAGTTGTGATATCAAATACTTGATACAAAAGATTAAATAGTTTTATTATACAAGTTATTTTTACTTATTCTACTAGTGGTTTCCAAAATAATGGTTGTGGTTAAAATGAGGGTCACATGGATGCTCTTAGGTGGGTGGTGGTTGCAGGTTGGAATGTCGAACTGGGGTAGACTGTTCTAGTTCCACGTGCCATGTTTAATGGATGTCAGTTATCAGTTATCTCCTGCTAATTCCCCTCTCCAAGTTCTCCACTGCCTTAACGGGATATTGAACTCACACTCTTTTGGGTCCTGTCACTGGATCTAACACCTTTATCCACTGTGCCATGTGTCCTTGAGGACATCTGGGTATGAATTTCTGGGTATTATAAACCTAATGTCTTCAGCAACTTTTTTTTACCAGTGCTCATATTGCAATTTTTGCTATTATCATTGCCTGTTTTTACCAGAACTCATATTGCAATTTTTGTTGTTATTATCGCTTTTGTCTGGCACTCCTTATTACTGGTCACCATATTGTATTCATTTCTATGTTTGGTCAGCTCAGTAGATTTTTGTGGACTAGCATATGTGCTGATTCCTTAAGTTTACAAATTTTCCAATCTCATACCTCATCTCAGAAATATAGACAGATATGGATTGTGTATCTGGTGATTTTTATTATGCTTCTTTTTAGAAATGGTGAGATTTTGATCTTTTTTTTTTCTTTTTTTTTTTCTTTTTTTTTATTTATTTATTCCTGTATCTCCACAGATTAACAATTTTAATTTCAGTTAAAATTTCAGAAACTACCTGCAAAGTTCATCATTTTAGTTTTTAGCGACATGATTTTATAGATATAGTTACCTAAGGATTTCTATAAATTAATTGCTGAATATAATATAAATGGTTAGAAATTAGTATCTGTATTTTTACAATCATTTTCTTGTTTTTTATATTTGTGAAATTGTGAAATTTAGAACTCATCTTAAAGCTGTTGACTTCATGTATTTGTTTTCAATTGCAGAACTTCTCTTGCCTGCTGCCGTTCACTTGAAAAGTTCTCTTCCAAAATGAACCGACCAAAAACCGCGTCCATTATCTCTCTTGGAACTAGTAACAGGTGATTCTGATTCTTCTGTTTTGTTACCCATTTCTTAATTCTTAGTTCTGAAGTTGAAAATATCAAGAGAATTCAAGGGAATGTTAGAAGAACATAAAGAAACACAATAAATTGCAGTTTTCAAAATAATTTTTCTATAATATTTTATCATAAGTACCTCAATAACAAAATATATGCAAACAAAAATCTCTCTCTCTCTGTCCTGGCATCATCTGACAAAAGTGAGAGACAGACTTGTATGAGGGTACAGAATCAAGAAGAGGCAATAAAATTTTTATCAGTTGCTTCAAGCAAAAGGTTGGTGATTTTTGCATTGAGGCCATTAACAATCACTGGATTTGAAATTTAGCCCAGTTCAAAAGCCACTATTAAATATTAAAAACTGAAAAGGACTTTTGAAAAAATTTTAAAAACTAACAACCTTTTTACTTTTGTTTATAAATACTTGTTATAAAATAAAATCCTTAGATTTGCCTTGATAAGGCCCATCAGAGAACAAAATGCGTTAGCTAAGATAAGTTTTCATTTTTGTTTATATATATATATATATATATTTAATTATGCAAAAAAAAGTACTAACACTGTAAAAAGAAAAAGCTCAATGTAAAACAAGATACAGAGCCTAAAATTTAGCACAATAACAAACATTTCTGCAAATGCACCCCAATCTTCAAAATCCTCAGGCAACAAGAAGGAACAATATACAAAAAATTCTTTTGCATGTGGTTCCTTCCTGTTCCTGAGGATTGCAAAAATTGCATGAAAATGACAGTAGTAGAAAAGTTTATTATTTCAGATTATATATATATATATATATATAAACAACAGCAATTAAGAGATGGTTCCACACTCCTCAAAACCTCCTGATCAGAGGCCTTGCTGCTGGATGCAGTTTATCGTTAGGGTCCCAGCTATGGATAAATAGCTTAGACTAATCTTACCAAAGCAACGCGACCACTAGGCAGTGGTTAAGTAACCTGGCTAACCTAGAGATTCTAAGGAAAGTAGTGGAACCCTGGTGGAGGAAATGCCCTTGAAGCCTCTTGGTAGCCACACTTTGGGCATTAGTGGGCATGCACTAAGGCGGACCCAAACAAACCTGGACTTTGCCAGCCCACTGCAACTCTTTGACAAGGCCTTGGTTGTCTTGAATCCTCTCCCTGCCACTGAACCACTGAAATCATTTTTCTAGGAGCTAAGTGCATGTGGCTGGGGACTGCACAGGTCCTAGCACCACCTTAAACAATTCTGAGCATGGACTCTGTCTTTCCTCTCCTTTTTTTTTTTCAAAAAGTCTGCAGCAATGGTCAATGGCCAATGAGGGCAGGCATAGGATGATGCTGGCAGCCCTTAATTCGAAGCCTGCATGTGGGCGGTGTAAGCAAGATGGCCGTTTCATTGCGCCCCTAGGACTACGCATCGTCTCATGTCCTACTTGCATGACCTGGTGGACCTTTTTCAAGGAGGGGCACCACCTGCCTTGCATGAGGAGGGGCCTATAAAAGGTGGCCTAAAAGATGCTGGTTCCAACTCAACTGGCCAGGAGGCTGCACCTGGTTGGTCATCCCTTATTACAGTCGATGAAGAAAATTGAAATATTTTGTTCTTGTTACCTGGAATATATGAACCCTACTGGACTGTTCCAATCATAGTAGACCACATTGAAGAACTGAGCTGATCACATCTGAACTCAAGTGCTACAATGTCGATATCACTGCACTCAACAAAACAAAATTCCTGATAACTGAGGAAGTTGAGGGATATACATACTTCTGGAAAGGTCTTCCCGCCAAAGTCAAGTCAATGGTGTTGGACTTGCTGGTTGCTCAGCACTTCAAAGGAACCTTTCTTCTGTTCCAACTGGGCACAGTGAAAGACTAATGACCCTTAGAATTCTTCTTTCCAATAATGTCTACACAACCATTTTCAGTGTGTATGTCCCAACCCTGGGTGCCGACGAAGAGATAAAGGATGCCTTCTATGAATCTCTCGACATAGCCCTGTGAGCAGTACCTCGGATAGACAAAATCATCCTCCTTGGAGATTTTAATGCTCGAGTGGGCTCCAATATGTCAGTCTTGACAGGAGTCATTGGCTCGCAGGGTATTGGGAAAATGAATGCTAATGGACTCTGTCTTCTAAGCCTTTGTGCCGAGCATCTGCTTGTGATTTACCAATACCATTTTTCAACACTTGAACAAATACAAGTGTTCTTGGATGCATCCATGCTCTTGGACGTGACACCTGTTCGATTATTTAATCGTCCTTCAAAGTGATCGAAAAAATGTCCTTCAAATCCATCCCATGCGCTGAGTGGACTAATGGATTGATCATTGTATGATTCGCTCTTGTATGAATCTCACGATTCAGTCTCTGGCCGCAAAACCAAAGCCACCCCTACACTCAATGTTGCCTGTCTTGAACAAGCATCAAAATGAGTTGAACTTCAAGCGAATTTACTCAATGTCTGTCAATCACTCCCAGCATCTACCATAGATGTTATTGATCAGCAGGAAATCAACAGTCTATAGGACTCTGCCATCCTAGCTATTCAGCAAGCTGCTGAAATTATGCTTGGAAAAACTCAGCGAAGGAACCCAGATTGGTTTGATGAATCCATGGAAGTTATCCAGCCACTTCTGAAGGCAAAGAATCAAGCACACTACACTCATCTTGCACATCCATGCTCTCATACTCATGTCCAAAACTGGCACTGCTTATGAGCAGAGGCACAATGGAAGCTTCAGGAAGCTCAAAATAACTAGTGGCTCTGCAAATCTGAAGAAATTCAATGTTTTGCTGATGAAAACAAAACTTATGAGTTTTATGATTCCATTAATCATATCTTCAGTCCTTCTCACAATGCCATAGCACCTGTTTGTTCTGCTGATGGTTCTACTCTGTTCAAGATAAAATAAGAAATTCTAGCATGATGGGCTGAGCACTTCAAGGAATTTTTGAATAGAGACATGCTGATTGATTCTTCAGCTTTAGACGAACTTCTGACTCTCATGGGCCTCCCTGAACTGGACTTTGTTCCAACATCAGATGAAGTTAACAGCGCCATAAAATCCATAAGAAACAAGAAGTCCCCCAGTGATAATAGTATTCCAGGAGAGGTGTACAAGTATAGTGGAGTGCACCTTGCATCATATTTGCATTCCTTTTTTGACCTTTGCTGAACAAGCAGAATGATCCCTAAGCGCTGGAAACATGCGAATATCATAAGCATTTACAAGAAAAAAGGTAATCGCTCTATCTGTGGCAACAGCAGAGGCATTTCCATCCTAGATGTGGCTAGGAAGATACTTGTGCGTATTCTGCTTCACTGTCGTCTCTATCTGACTGAGTGAATTCTGCCGGAATCTCAATGTGGCGTCAGACCTGAACATAGTACTCTTGACATGATATTCATTGCTCATCTACTACTTGAAAAAAGCAGGGACAAACAAAGAGAGATTAATTTTGCTTTCGTTGACCTAAATAAAGCCTTTGATATGGTCAATCGGGTGGCTCTATGGCTTTTGCTTGTCAAATTTGGCTGTCCGTCGAACTTTCTGAGTCTATGCCAATTTCACAAGGATATGCTTGCTGAAGTATCTGTTGGGAGATCCTCATCAGAACAGTTCAGTGTACATATGGGAGTTAAACAGGGCAGTGTTCTTGCTCCCATGCTCTTTAACATCTATCTGGTTGCTGTGACTTTTCTCTCTTGGTTACATATGGAACCCAACGACAAAATATGTATCTAATATCGCTTTGATGGAAGCGTCTTCAATGCCTGATGTCTCAAAGCTAAGACTCTGATCTCTTCCATTCCTGTCTATGAACTGCAATATGCTGATCATGCTACCATAATTTCTCATGATGTACTATCACTACAACAGTCCCCGAATTCATTGCATCAGGCTTAATCTTGCCTTAGTCTTGATATCAACACAAATAAAACAGAGGTCATTCAAACAGCATTTAAATGACGTGATCCAGCAGCTCAGCTGCACATTGACAACCTTTCGTTGTCTAATGTTAACTCATTCATCTACCTTGGCAGCGTCATATCTGATAATGGACACATTGATGAAGACATTCTCTAGCGGATAAATCTTGCCTCCACTTCCTTTAGACGTCTTCGCCTGCAGGTCTTCTCTAATAGCAACCTCTGACTCACCACCAAAGCCACTGTCTATTGAGCTATTGTTGTATCACTGACAAATAAAACTGATTGAGACATTCCACATCTGAATCTTGCACATTACTTGGAGGGATAAAATCCCACACACCGAGGTTTTACAATGTGCAGAGGTTGTCAGAATCGTGGCCATCATCCAACAACAACTTCTATGTTGGGTTGGGCATGTTGTGTGAATGTTGGGCAATCGTCTCCCAAAAATTGTATTCTACAAAATACATGGGAGCCCAAAAAAACAGTTTTGGGACTACCTTAAGCGTGCTCTTGTCTCCTGCAATATTGACCCAACAGAATTGGAGAACCTAGCAAGGGATCAGATCAGCTGGTGGTCTCTCTGTGTTGCTGGAGTGGCACACTTCAAGGAGGAGAGATGAGGAGTGCTTGAGGGGAGGTGATGCCAGCATCATCTGCAACCTGCCAATTCTGCACCGGGCATGTTTTCCTGCTACTTGTGCCCAAGAACTTGTTGTTCGCAGATCGGGCTGCTATGTCATTGTCAGCAATGGTGGACAGCCTAAGATATATATATATATATATATATATATATATTTGGTAATAAACTTTTCTCTATATAACTTTATATGGATGTGTGGGTGGTTTAAGCATGAAAAATAAGTGAATTGAGTTTGAATTACATTCATTTTCACACAAATACCTTTGAGAAATGTCTAAATCCATCTCTTCATCTCCATCCAGCTATGGACTAGTAGGACTGACTAGCCTTGATTGGCAACCAGTCAAAGAGAAGGACAACTCTGAATTCAAATCCTGAGGAGAGTTATTTTGAGACCTGGTGGCACACTATGTGTACTAGTTCTCTGTATCTGATTCTTCCAAAAAGTGTGGTTGGTTCTGCACAAGCCTTTGCCACCATAATCAAATCATGTGTGGGTAGTCTGTTCAGTTCTAAGAACTGAGCTATAGAACTCTCATATGCAAAAAAGTCCATCATATATAGTGTTTGTGTGTATGCCATGTCTCTATAGGATGTGGGCAGTCATGGTTCTTCACAGCTTTGTGTTTTTGTTGCTCTCATTAATAGTTGCTATTCCACAATTAATTTCTTGTCTTTGCATCAATTGCTCTTCTTCCTGTTTGGTCAGTTTGTCAAGTAGGTAACAAACAGCTTTTCTCTGCATCCTTTGTTTTCCTATCAAATGGCAAAGGAACCCCGTGAGTCAATGAAGTGGTGTCTCGATAAAAACACCATAGAGGAGGCAACAAGAAACAACTCCATCCTCCCTTCCAAGGACAATCATGACAATCCATAAAAGTTAAATATAAATGAATACTGAATAATTTGCATTCTTCAGTAAGGAGATTTTAGGTATTCTAAAAACTTTTAGGATTCCGGGGGCATTTTACCACTAACTTAACATTGTAAAAAGAAGCTGATTTCTTACCAAAATATTATCAATTTTAACTTTAATATCAAACTACATTTTAATTAACAAATTATAACAAATACATTTAATTCTTACTAATACACATCTGTATATTCAAGCCAAAAATGAGATTAGCACAAATAATTATATATGATTACATGGTTTTATATCAAAGTGACCAGTTATTTGTATCTGTTGCAGGTCAGCCAATGATAACAAGCATAATCTTCGAGAGGACCAACCTCAAAAACAAAGATATGAAAGCCATATTAGGCCAAAGAAAAATAAACCAACCCCTTGGCAAAAATCTCTTGAGGTACTTTAAATTTTTAATCAGATCTCAATTTCAATGCACACCTAATGTCAGTAAATATTCATACATATACATTTATCAAGGAATATATCTACACAGAAATGATTCCATTAACTCACACTTCTATCTCAGCATCTTATTATCTGTCTATTTTTACAGATGGTGAAATTTTGGTCTTGTTATTTATTTTTAATTATTTATTTCTATACCCCCACAGTATTCATTTTTTTTTAGATGAAGAATTATCAGCTGTTATTATTAATTTTTGACTAGTATTTACTTTAATCTTTATTTTCCATTGCATGAAATATTGGCATCTATTGTTATTAATCTTGACTAGTATTTATATTCATTTTAATTTTTTATTTTTTAGGTCCTCAGTCTATGGCCATAATTAAACAATATATAATAAGAAAATAAAAGAAGTAGCTATCGATGAAATTCAGGCCCTCAAGATTATTTATTGATGCACCTACATATTCAATCTGAATTAAGTTCATTGACAAGGACGGAGATTGTGGAAAAATATTTGTTGCATAAAATAAATGCTATTTTCATCATTGGGCTGCAAACTTATTGATGTATATATGTATATTATGATGTAAGACTTTTTGAATAAACATAGACAATAAGAACATTAAGCATACTTTATAGTCTGTTAATTGAATATCAATTACCTTATTACAATAAAATGAAAGAGAAATAAGATGAAAGAAATACTAGTCTAAAATAGATAATAGTTAACATTGCTTCATTTAAAAAATTCATAAACTATTAATTACTTCAGTAATTAGCATATATGCAACTTTTTAGACTGTTTTCTTTAACTAATCTTATCCACTTATTTGTAATATTTAAGTATTTAATGTTCAACTTCCTGTCTATAATTGATTTCTTTGAGGATGCAGTATTAATATTTAAATGATGTTTCTTTTAAATGCATCTTAATCTTATTTGCTAGTAAATACAATATCTGCAAATCCTTCAGAATTTTTTTGTTGCTTCATTTTATATAATGACCAAAAGTTTGGGCCCACCCTCTAGATTTTGAAGACTTACCTAAAAATTGAAGGTTGCATGCTTTTTTCAAAACTAGCTTACCTCGAAACAGAAGGACTTTCTCTTCTTGAAGGATTTTATTATATATTCAATAATAATAATGAAATTAACCTGTTACTACATAAAGTTTCTGTAGTCAGTTTCTTCTGTCTTGTAATAACGATCCCTAATCTGTTTCCTTCAACCTTCAAACTAGTGTAAATCAAACAATCTAACATGTGTCTCCTGTTCACTACCACAGTTGCACTCTCTTTCTGTTGTCTCTTTAAAGCACTTTTTATAGATTGAGTAACAGTGAAAATTTACAGAGGTGGAAAGAGATTCTCATGAAAATATTTTTCTCTGAGATTTCCCTTTTTTAAATATACATCTTGTAAAGCTACCATTTTCTTTTTGGGAATATTTTACATACAAGACACATCAAAATCCGTTTTCATCCAGGAAATAAACTATTTTTTTAGCTCATTTTGACTCATCTACCTTACTGGCTAATACTAATCTTAGAGTGAGCAGATTTTAAATTTTAGGTAACCGTCTCTAAAATATTGTGCACTATGTAGCAATGAGTTAAATAATTTTGTCATTTTAGCTCACCAGTAGTTAATTAAACTAAAGAAGGTATGAAACTTATTAATTATTAAATCCAGAGAGTGTCCCCAACAAAAAAACCTTTGGTCTATAGTGCATATATACATGTTAAGAATGTATATTTACATATAATTTTTTAATCTTCTGCTTCAGAGTCCAATGGTGCCATTGGTTGTTTCTCCTGGATACATTTTGTCAAAAAACAAATCAAAATATGATGTTGTCATAAAAACGGATGAATTTTTCAACCCAATCCATGAAGAAACTGTTAAGTGAGTTATCTTGCATCTTTGATTCTCATCAGTTTCACAATGAAAGAGACTGAAAATAAACTCCAAAAGTATCTAAAACAATCTTGTTTGTATTTTGTTGTTTCAGATGTGACATTCTATTCTACTTATGCATAGGATTGCCAGATGTCACGAATAAAAATACAAGAAACTCTATTTAAATTCTGATTAATTTGCATAGACATAAATTGAGATAAAAATAATATTACTACATGGGACAAACTTATACACTACAAAATATTATTATAAATCATTTGATTTTAAATTTAAATAGAGTGTCTGTACTACAATTGGGCAAGCCCAGCAGACATATTTATACATTATCTAACAGTCAAAATGAATAACATTTATTGATATTGGCTTCTTAAACAAATAAAAATAATCTTTATGTTTAATTATTCATTCATAGTTGTAATGTTATTGTTTATAAACAGAAAATGAAGTTTAAAAAAAATATTTCACTCCAAGTAAGGCAATATAGCCATTAAGATGCATGGGGGTCATTGAGTGTGAAAAATATGAGAAAAAAAACATTTTTAAGGAGAGGGAAAATTAAGAAGACAGAAGATAACGATTAGCATTGGATTTAAATTTTTGAAGATCAAAGTTGACTGGGAAGGAAGAGGCCGGAAGAGAATTCCACAAGTGAGAAGTGCAATAGAAGAAAACTGTCAGCATAGAACTTATGGTTACATTGAACCATTTCAACTGTAAAATGATGAGACATTGCCACCAATCTAGTACTACGCTTAAATTCATAAAGTCTAGGTACCAAGGAGGAAAACTCATCAGAACAATTACCATGAAAGTATTTATAAAAAAGGTACAGAGAAGCTACATTATGATTGAAACTAAGATGATTGATAACTTTGCCCTGGCATCTTAACTTGAAATAAGTAGAAAGCTCCTCTAATATTGATGCACTTGTCAAGGTTAAAAGGTGTCAAGTGTCTGGATCACACTAAGTTTACTAAATAGCTAATATTGTCAGAAAGTTGAAATTACAACTTAGTCTAGTCATAAATTTTCTGAATGTTAGAATGTTCTGTAAAGAATTTAGTGTAAGCTAATTTGGTTCATTTCAAAGTATTGTATTGCATTATAACATGTAACAATTTTTATTGAATAAAAACAATACAATTTTTTTCATCTTCACATTTTCTGTACGTCTCCGGCCCACTTGATGTAAAATTGAGCTTATGTGGCCTCCAGATCGAAATGAGTTTGCTGCACCTGGTTTAGATATTGCAAAACTCATCAAATATCTCCAAGCTGACATGAAATGTTAAAAAAAGTCTTTATGTTAAAGCTGACATCTTAGCAGTACATAAAAATGTATCTAGTACCATCATTATAGAACTACAGCTAAATAGACTTTAAGTTTCATACCAAGAATTAATTTCTTTATTCATTTCTTATCTGGCTATTTTTTCTTTATTAATTTCTTACCAGGCATCATTTACTTTATTTTGTGCCTCAACTTATATTTTTAATTTATTTCCAACCAGGACTTATTTTATTTATTAGTTTCTACAAGATCTTATTGTATTTATTCATTTCCTATCAGGATTTATTTTTTTTATTTCTTAACTGGTCTAATTTATTAATTTATTAACAGGACTTTTTTTATTTATTTACTACTTGACTATTTTTATTTTTATTTATTTGCTACCAGGATTATTTTTTCTATTAATTTCCTACCTGGTCATATTTTCTTTATTATTTTCTTATCAGGACTTTTTTTTTGTTTCCAAGGTTCATTTCTTTATTTATTTTCTACTTGACCTTAATTTCTTTATTTCATACCTGGCCTTATTTTCTACCTGACCTTACTTTCTTTATTCCCTACCTGGTCTTATTTCTTTATTTCCTTACTGGCCTTATTTTATTTATTTCCTACCTGGACTTATTTATTTATTTCCTACTCGGCTTGATTTCTTTATTTCCTACCTGGCTTTGTTTTCTTTATCTCCTATGTGGCTTTATTTTATTTATTTCCTATCTAGGCTTATTTTATTTATTTGCTTTATTTCCAACCTGGGCCTAATTTCTTTAATAATTACCTACAAGGCCGGTTTTTATTCATTTTCTCCCATGCCTTATTTATTAATTTCCTATCAGAATTTTTTTTAATTAATTTCCTACCTTGCCTTATCTCTTTTATTCCTAAAAGGATTTCTCTTTATACCTACCTAACCATATTCACATTATTAATTGCCTTCCTTTTCTTTATTTCTTTATGGCCTCATTTTATTACTTCCTACTAATACTTATTTTCTTGATTTATTTTTTATCTGGTTTTATTTCTTTATTTTCCACCATTTTCTATCATTTACCTTATTAATTATTTTATTAATTTCTTATTTTACCTGGTTATATCTTCTTTGTTTTCTTGATTTATTTCATAATGGCTATATTTTTTTACTTCCTACCTAGACTTAATTTCTTTATTTTCTTGACAGGCATTTATTTTCTTTATTTATTCCCTATCTTGCCTTATTTCTTTATTTCCTACCTGACCATATTTTCTTTATTTATGTTTTACCTTATTTCTTTATTTTCTACCTGGCCTTATTTTTTTATTAATTAATTTCTTACCTGGCCATATCTTTATTTTCTTGATTAATTTTCTCGCTGGTCATATTTTATTTATTTTCTAATAGGACTTATAAATTGGGCATGTTCTGATTCAATAATTTCTGTTTGAATTTTTGGTATAAGGAGTTATCATTATTTACACTATTCAGGTTATTCAAATGGTCTGTTATATCCACCATAAATGCAAGGTCCTGTACCCATTCTGGAGACTGTAATTGTACCACAGGCTTCCCTTTTATTTCCATGAAGTTTACAATTGCCACTTGTAGTTCAAAAAAACACTTCAGGACAATACCCCAACTTAGCCCTTACCTCAGTATGGTATGGCAAACCATGGCCAATATCTTTATCATTAAGAAGAATGTCAAATTGACGATGGCCTATAAAGTTAACAATTTTAACTTCCATCACATGGTCCATTTTCAGTGACTTGCAGCACAATGCCTCTTTGTGGATAATACAATGAAAAGTTCAGAAGCCTAGCTCTCCATTTGCAGTATGCATTTTCGCCTTCGATTTCAGTACAACATTAGCTTTCTTTCCAGTCATTAAAGGTGCATCATCTGTAGCAACACTGACAGCATGATCCCAGTCTACTCCAACATTATCCAATGCACCAACAAGTGAACCGAAGATGTCTTCAACCTGTCATTGGTACTAACTGAATAAACTCTTCAGTAACTGTTACACTTGTATCAACTCCACAACAGAAAATTGAAAGCTGAGCAATGTCTGTAATGTCAGTACTCTCATCAATAACAACTGAAAGTGCCACAAAAGATGCCACTTTTTCCTTGAGTTGACCATCTATATCAGCTGCAAAGTCTGAAATATGATCAGAAATAGTGTTCCTTATCAAGCTTATATTAGCAAAAAATTGGCATTTTCAGTACACACAATTTTTGTAGGTTTCAGCAAACAATTCTTTACAAATTTGCCATCAGAGAATGACTTGGATGCCACAGCAATTTCTTTAGCAATGAGGTAGCTGGCTTTTACAGCCACATCACTAACCACCATACTGAAAATCGATTGCTGTTTCTTTAAACAGACAATTCCTTTAATTTATCCATCCTTGCTTTCCTTTGCAAACTTCTGAATTTATTGCTATGATGACTGTCATAATGCCAGCAAATGTTATATTCCTTCATAACAGAAATTTGCAGCAGGCATATTAAACACACAGATTTTCCATTTACAGATGTGAAAAAATATGAATCTGTCCACTTTTCTTGGAATACTCTGCATTCTGTACTAACATTTTTTTTTTTTTTTGACAATGACATGGTGAAAATTTAAGCGAATTTTGAAAGCAATGCCCCAATATACTTGACACAAGTAATATGTTAAGCTGGTTTCTGAAATGCCAAGATATAATATTAAACACAATCCAATCTGTGACCATTTCTTTTTACAATGGACTATATAATACCAACTGATGTTGTAGTCAGCAAAGCACAAACACTTGTATTCAGTACACATGAATTGCATTAACAATGATATAAAGTTCTGGGGTTTGTGATGTGATTATTTATTCAGACCAGGGCCCACAATTAACATTGTCCTATTGTCTCAGGAATGATACAATGTTAGCTTGGGATGATTGGTTTGGTTCTTTGGGGTAAAATAAAACAAAGTTGTAAATAAAATTGTTACATTAGTAAAAGCAAAATTGTGGCATTTAAGGAGTTAGAACAATTTCTTTGTGAATTTCTAGTATGTGGAGTTATCATTAAGTACATTATTTACACATGGACTGTTGTCCTCATTTTCATTGTTACTATCATGTTTCAGCCATTGTACCCTCTGGTCTTCATCAGGAGCTTGCCAATTCAGGTAAACTTCAGGAAATTTAGAATTTAACCCTTTATTTATTCTATGAGTGGGGATAGATTCTTCTCATTCCACTGAATGAGCGAGAAATATCTTGTCTAATTCTTATTATTTAGTACTTCTCAAACTCTATCCATGATTTTCGCTATCATCTTGAAACTAGATTCCTACAAGGCATGCAGACTTGATGGTATTCTTACACATGTCCTAAAACAATCAACCCCTGAACTGGCTCCTTCTCTCTATGAACTCTACAACAAATACCTTACTGTTGGAAATCCTATTCTGTCAGACTAAGGTGAACCATTTGGTTGTTCAAATTTTTCTACCTCTTTTTGACAAAATACTAGAAACTCTATTCATCTCTGTATTGGTTAAGCATCTCACATTTCATGGTTTTCTTTAAAAAAAATATGGCTTTCACTTCCGTAGGTCAACCACCAATGTGTTAATGGTTATTGTTGAAAGGGTCTGCCAAGTTTTAGATAAAAATAGTGAAACTCAGGCTGTGGCTTTAGATGCTTCAAAAGTATTTGACAGGATCTTGCATACTGGTCTTTTTCACAAGCTGAAGGGCTATGGTGTCTGAATTAATCTTTGATTTGATCCAATCTTTCTTACCAAATTCTGTAATAAAAGTCATGTTGAAAGATCACTCTTCTAGGTTCTTTCACATTAATGCAGGTGTCTCCCAGGGTCCTATCCTTGGACCTAGTCTGTATTCTTATCTTCATAAACAACCTTCCTGATGTCACCAGTTTTCAATTTGTTATCTATGCTGATAATGATTATTTACACCTGTTTTAATAGTAAGTCTGATAGGTTTGATAGAGTAAAACTGGTTGCTGATCTCAAAAATGACTTTCATTCTGTTGTTAACTGGTGCAAGAAATGGTTTGTAAATTTGAACACCTCCAAAACAAAACTACTATCTTTTAGTCATCACAGAGAACTATTTTTTCTTTCCACCAGCAAAACTGATGCTAACCTCCAGGGGAGTACCTCATTATACCTTCTTGGTGTCACACTTTCTACAGACAAGAAGTGGAGTGATTATATTGAATCTATTGCTCAGTTTGCTGTGAGGAAATATGGTTCACTGTGATGTGCTAAACACTTTTTCTCATTTGAATCCATCTAGCACATTTATAAATTTATTCATGCACTGAATATTTCTTTTAGATCTGGTCTGATGCTTCTATTACATATCTCGAGATTATTGACAAAATTTAAAGAAGTATCTGTAAAGTTATTGGTCCTTCAGCCACTTTCCCACCACTGTAATATGGCTTCCCTGTATCTTAGCTATAAATATTTTCATGGCAATTGTTCTTTGGTACCTTAACTTCATGAATTTATACATAGTACTAGATTGGCAGTTAGGTCTCATCATTTTACTGTTGAAATAGCTAGGTATAACTGTAAGTTTTATTCTAATATTTTCTACTCTTGCATTTCTTGCACATGGAACTCTCTTCTGGCTTTTTGCTTTCCTATCAACTACAATCTTCAAAAATTTAACTGCAACATCAATCATCATCTGCTATTTCCTTGAATCCCCTTTTTTATATCTCTTTCTCATCACTAATGTTTTCTCATTTTCTTTCACTCTTAGTAACCTCCTGTATCTTGGTGTTATTATCACCTTGCTTGGTGTGAAATAATTAAAATAAAATTGCTTATTCTATTTCCATTGAGTCTAAGGACACACTGCTCAGCTTTGATCCCAAGGTGGATTAAAGCCTTGCTTCATGAATTTGGTGTCATAGTAAGAGTTCAATCCCTGGGCCAAGCAGTGTGTACTTGAACTAAGTGAACCATAACTAAGCAGTACTAAAAAGATATTCCTAGACATGCTTAGTGGAATGAGAACTGTCTACACTGTAGAGTATATAAAGTGTGCAGTTGTCCACATCAACAGGCACCTGAGGCTGGACATAACAGTGGCTGAAACATTGTCATAATAATAACAAAAATGAGGAGAATAGTATGTATAGTGTAAAAAAAATTAGGGCAGTTTTGTACTTGAACTTGTACTTGAAGGTTACTTGTGTTTAAAATCAGAGTTTTCCTTCTGTTAATCATAAAAAATTGAAAACTCTGGTTTCAAACCTCTGTTGGAGTGAAAGTATGGAGTAGATGGAACTCCTTAGCTATAGTGAAGGCAGTCTGTCCTGAAAAAAAATGAATGTGATGTTTGTCATCATAAAATTTCAATTTATTAAAAAAAAATTCATATAAAAAAAGATAATCTTGTTTTTTTTTTACTTTTAGAAAGAAGACTGAAAGTTCAGAAAGGTATGTTAAACTCATTTTTTTTTCATTTTTATTTTTGGAAGAAAAATGGTGCAATCAGTTAAGTGCTAGATATGGCACACCAAACAACCAGCTTCAGAGAATCTTGTTCAGGCTTGAGAATTTCTGCTGGGTTTGATTTCCCCAAATGCAACAGTTGTGTCAGTTTACCTGACCAGAGATAATGAAAGATTGTGTTGTTGCTAAACTATATGTTTTCCAAGAGCTGAGGATTGTTTTCGTAATGGCAGAGAAGTGATTCACATATTTCCATATGAGCATCATAATCTTCCACTTGAAGCATTTGAACAACCTGAACTTGGTACAGGTAGAGCTTTATCACTTTCCAAAGCATCCACTGAATTTGGTGTTTTCATCAGTGGTAGTAGCAGCAAGCTTTCACTGTTTTGTTTGTCAAGAACAGATTCTGTCTTGAGAAACTTGCTATGGATAGTGTAAATTGTGCTAAGCTTTGGAACAGTATGACAGACATAAAGTTTGTCACACTTGTATTGAACTGCAGTCAGAGACTGAAAAAACATCTTGCAAGCTGGCAATTTTGCAATGCTGCTCCAATGTCAATTGGTGAGCTGTGTGCAAGGAAATATGATGCATTTACAAAAACTGCTATGATTAAAAGCTGTCAAATGTTGATAGCTTCTCATATCTCTGAATGATACCTGAAACAAAAAAGAAAAGAAAATGAATAGTGACTTTTGGGGGACACACACACACACACTATATATATATATATATATATATTGTATTTTTGTATTTTTAATTTTATGCATGCATATTGTTTGTTTTTGATTTTGTCAATTGCACAGTATACTAAGGTCAGTTGGACACCGTCTGTGAGACAAGAAGCATCATGATGCAATTCACTCCACAAGAAATTTGGAAATGGTATGCTGTGCTGCTTGGTATTTGTGCCAAAATCACCAATATGAACATTTCAGAATGTTTGGGTGTCAATCTGAGGAATAGTGGAAATTGTGCTGCACGTTGGATATAGAATACGAACAAATCTGCCATCCATTTACTCAAGCTCACTTAGTAGATTATGTGTTGTTTACATCTGTCCTTCTTGCCTTCATTGTGTCCTGTGAGTATCAAATTTTCCAAACCCTCTTTCCTCATTATGTGACCTAGAAATTTCAACTGTTTCTTCTTGATATTAAGTATAATTGTCCTTTTTGTTTCTATTTTCTCTAAATTTTTTTTGCTCACATGTTCAGTATTTAAAAAAATGCTACAATTGAACCCAGGCCTTAACTTTAACACTGTTCTCTATTTATGATTTTAATTTTGTCTTCTACAGAGACATACTTCTTGAGCAGCTACAACAACAAATAGCAGATTTGACACTTTACCTCCAGGAGGAACGCTACACTCACAGACAAAGCAAACAAAAGGTGAGCTACTGATGTTCCTGACAGCAGTTGGTTTGGTTATACAGGAAAAAAGAGAAAAATATATTTATATATATATATATATATAAGCATATCAATGACTATATGGGTTATGTACAACCAAAAATGTAGCTGTTATATTTGATAATAGAATGGTCTTGGAAGTTCGAGGGTTGGATCTCCTGGATAATTCCATAACTGATTCCAATGATATGAAACAATTGATGGATTGTTTGGTGATAGTCCTCATGGATAAGTTCAAAATTTTTTCATCATTTTATAACATTTTGCTGATGATTGTTCACTCTAAATATTCACTGTCTTGAATCAACATTTAACCGACCTTGAAATGCATGGGTCTCCCAGAAACTTGTGTTTATCCTAAAGAATGGTTGCCAAGAGTTAGCATAATGTTGTAAATGCTTCTGGATATTTTTTAAAAATGTTCCTGAACAATTTTCACTTCAAATCTAATTTTTTGTAATGCTCATTTGTAGGAGATACTTTGTAAATCACAGATACAATAATAGTATTGCCTTTGAACAATATTCAGTCAGATGCCACTAATTCCAATATATATATTTTTTTCCTTTACCTGTCACGTGATCTAATTATTTCAAGATGAGGTCGACTGTGTTTGCTCTATGGCGATCTGTTTTCAACCCCAAGTGTCAGCATCGACACTTTATTCCTATATGACATAATTCTTGATAATGTGCTACTTTTCTTTCATTCAATAATTATAGAGACCTTGTATAAGACTGATGAAACAGGCTATGTTATATAGAATTTCAACATCGTCAAGATATCAAAATGGGAAGATGGTAGGGAGTGGCTGTTGTGAAGTGGATTAGTGTTGTTTGCAGTGGATTTCCATTGAACAAAACATGGAAAAATTGTTGATATTTTTATTCGGACAAAAATACAATGGTTAAAACAAAAAGCAGAGACAGAGTAAAAAATCTTTTGTCTTTATTAAGAGCCTTCTTGACAAGTCTGGGTCTGTAAAGTTATCAGTCCTAACCTGGAATCTCAACTTCAGTCACCTCCCCCCCACTGTGGCATGGCTTCCTTGTGTCTTTTCTGTAAATATTTTCATTTTCTGATGAGCTCCTCTTAGTATCTCAACCACATGAATTTAAGCTTATTACTAAGTTTCATTGTTTTACTGTTGAAAAACAATGAAACCTAGTCACCAATCTAGCAGTATACTAAAATTCATGTGGTCAAGATACCAAGGAGGTGAGACATGAAAAATATCACTATAGCTAGATGGAACCATAAGTTCTATTCTAATAGTTTCCTTTCTTGCACTTCTCATCTGTGGAACCCTCTTACTTCCTTGCCACTTATGATCTTCAAAAATTTAAATGTAAAATCAATTGCCATCTCCTGTCTTTTTGAATTCTGTTCTTTTATTGTCCTTACTCCTCAGTAAAGTTTTCTCATTCTCTTCTACTCCCTGCAACTTCTTGCGTTTTAGTGGCATTGTCATCTTGCTTCAAGTGAAATAATTAAAAGAAAAAATACTGACATTCTAAAGTGTTTTGGCTCTTCCAATTTTCACTCTTCTTTCCAGTACCACTTGCCAAATATCTTCTTTCCAGTACCACTTGCCAAATATCTTCTTTCCAGTACCACTTGCCAAATATCATAGAAAGATGTTAAGATCATGTTATTAATGTATTTTTATCATTTATCAGTTGTGTGATGAATGAGAGCCTATATATTTTGACAAAGAATCTATCACTGTTAATTAGAAAATAGAAAAAAACACACTATTCATCATGTGATGCCCAACCTCATTCTAACCCCCAGCTGCCCCCAAAAGTATTATGTGATTCAATACAAATAGGAAGTGAAAGGTAATTGATCTACTCAAGAATCTCTTCTAAAAAGAAATTCTGATATATAGTCATTTAGTCAAATTTTGGGAAGTGGGTTGAGTCAAGAACACAGAATAGTTCAACCTCATTAGCACTTTACTCAGGAATTAAATCTAGTTTCCTCTCGAAGGAGAGGTAGTATGTATCTATATGCTCTTCTTCTATGTGCCATGTTACTTCAGGACATTTAGTGATCATTGCTCTCCACAAATATTGTCTATATGCTCACTTGTACAGAATATGATTCAAGTTAATGTTTACAGTGGGAGCCCACATGTTCATGGGCCAAAGAACAAAAATTGCGGTAGCTCCTCTCAGCACTTCTCTGTTAGGAGACGCTTCAGGTGCAAGGTAATGATCCTAGTCACCTCTTGAAGGAATGGTAGTACCTGGGAAGGACAACCAATATATCACTTCATAGTAAATATGGTTACTTTTGGCAAGCAATTTTCTTGAAAACTAAGAATAATCTCAGAATGATATTTAACTGTCTGCTGACATGAACAAGAATGTAGCACAAGGTCAAGTCTGACATGTACACAGGATGAGAAACCCAAAATAATCCACCCTCTTTTGCACTTTAACTTTTTAGGGATACTGCCAGCAGCAGGAATTAACCCTTACCCTTACTCCCTCCCAAAGGAGATGTACTGATTGGAGAGTTAGGCCTCCTTTATATATGAGAGATGAGGATCCAATTTAATGAGCAAACTCCAGTGATATATAATTTTAAAAGAGTGATTATATTACAAACAACTTCTCCTATTCATCAATATTTGTAATCAGGCAACAGTCATATTTTGCAGGCAGAAGATTTTCTTCGAGATAAGGTTGATGAACTTCAGAACCAGCACAAAAATGAGATCAGGTCAGTAAAATATGAAAAGAAATTTTTATGTTTGAGTTTTTCAAAATTTATCTCTCAGATGAAACCCTCTGCTGGAAAGCTAGAATTTTATATGTGAAGAGGTATGATCATTGTAGATATAAAGGGTGCAATGGGTAAATTGTTGCCATTCTACATTTTTAATTTCACATATGCATGTTGTTTGTTTTTGATTTTGTCAACTGCGTAGTATAGTAAGGTCAGTTGGGCACCATCTGTGAGAAAAAACAGCACCATAGTGCAATTGACTTGGCTAGATATTTGGAAATAGTATGTTGTACTATTTGGCATTCATGCTGTAATCTGCAATATGGATATTTCAGAGTGTTTGGGTGCCAATCTGAGGACAGTGCAGAGGATTCGGAAAGAGTTGGATGAATCTAATGATGATTATGAATGTATGGCAGCTCGGAAAACTCACTCTGAGTGTTCTGATAAGAAAAGAACTCCCAAATTTGTTGGTGAGGGCCTCAGACTCAACACGGAGGTTTTCATCAATTGCCTTGAGGAGGTAATGCTGCTCTGGATCAAGAGGGTGGCTGCTGGAAAATCCTATGTCTGGCAAAAGGACTCTGCACCATGTCACAGAAGCAGAACCCAGTTATGTCTGTCAGACAATTTCTGTGTCCACAGCACTCCTTACATCTGGCCACCTAACTCCCCAGATTACAACACCCCTGATTTTTATGTGTGGGGTGCAGTTGAGCAAGAGACTAACAAAACTCCTTGTAACACCAAAGATGGACTAAAAGCAAGTATTATGACAGCATTCACCAACTTAAACAAGGAGACTGTCAAGAAGAGTTGCAGGAGATTCTGAAGTCATCTGGAGGCTGTTACAGCTGTTTAAAATGCTTGTTTTTGTCATATAGGAAAATCCAACATGGCGCTTGAACAAAATATTTGGCAAAAATTCCCATTCATCAGTAACATTAAACCCCTCATAGAATGCAAACTTTTCAAAGCAAACCTGTGCCAAACTGTTTTCCTGAATCCTCAATGACTTGGCTGTCTGAAAATGACAACATTAAGATGAAACAATGGAAACTGACCGTGGAAAACGCAATTATGTGCAACAAGTTTTCAATCAATCAGTTACCTTCTCGATTTGGCTGTGAAAAATGTCACTCATGGGTTAGCATTAAGAAATTATGGCCAATTTTCTGAGAAAAATAACTTTTTTTTATCGAAAAAAATTGTTTTGAACTGAAAAAAAATTTTTTTTCAAACTTCAATCCTTTCTCTTTAAGTTGGTGTGAACATCATTTAATAATGACCCAACAATAGAAAATATGAAAGACATGTAGCGAAAAAAAACAATGTCTGTTTGCTAAGTGTTTTATGTCATCACCCAGGTCATGGGTTATGAGATGTTTAAAAAAAAAACACATCAAGCCATATGTTCAATTTTTTTTCAGAGCTTTGACTGATAACATCTTGACTTTCTCATATAGGTTTGAAAAAATAACCCATATCAAGCACTTTTTAACAATGTCCATTTTTTTTTCTCCACTCTTTGCTTTTGGAAGTAGTAGGATTTATCACCAGCTGATGACAGCTCATTTTAACCTTTTATTGCTGGCTGGATGGCTTTGAGCCAGCCATGTCAAAGTCAATTTGGCTTAATTTAAACCCTATTTTTCTTATCACTGCTATTTTTTGAAAAAAAAATCCTCAATTTTTTTAACACCTGGCAGGCATATAACTGAAAATTACCAACAGACATTGTCACATTTTGGCCTCCTAGGAATTTTGTTTTCCTTCAAACTCTCAATTTTATGCCTGAAATAGTTTGATTATAATTCATGATTTCTGATTTTTCAAAAAAAATGGTTAATTTCCGATTATTGGTAAAAAATTTTGTTTAGAACTAGAAAAAAGGTAAAATTTTCACTATTTTTTCACATTTTACCCCCTGAAAAAAAAATTTTTGAGTCATTTACACCATCCAATTTTACTTTTAAATGAAAGAACATATTGTTTGCTTTCAGAAAATACCTACTTTTATGGGGTTCAGATCAAAAGTTTCCTTGATATTTTGTTCAGATGATAACAAAACAGTCATTGTTTTACCCATATAAAAGAATGAAAATCCATTTTTTTTTAGAGAAAATAGGCTGTGACAAAATGACTTTTGCTATTTTTGTGATGATTTTTACTTGGGATAGAAAATTTTTACCATAGCAGACCTGAATTGACTTTTTTTAAGTTTTAGTAGGGTGGCTATAGAACCTTCAAACAGCTGTGCGATTTTATTGAATAAATTTACTCTTTAGTATTTCAAGATATTTTTGTGTAATTTTGGTAAAAAAATCTGTTAAACATAATTTTCATTTTACATAATTTAGATGACAATTTATTCATCATACTGTATATATATATATATATATATATATATATATATATATATATATAAATATAATTTTTATTTATTTTAGGATATTAAAATATCTGTCTCCTCAGGTGATGGTAAGTTACTGGTAGTAGTTTATCATCACCTGATATATATATATATATATATATATATATATATATATATATATATATATATATGTCATGTGACTTGAAAGCTCAGATCAAGGAACTGAATAATAAAAAATATACAAATATTGGACAATTTTTGTTTTTATTTTCTTACAAAATTAAAGCAACTATACAAAGTTTAGAATGGCTCATGATCAAACATAACAGACATTCTTTGTCTGTTATATTTAATAATATATGTTTGAATAATGTTCTGCTGCCTCAATATGCTAAATATATATTTGTGTATGTATATATATATATATATATGTATGTATGTATGTATGCATGTATGTGTATATATATATATGTATGTATGTATGCATGTATGTGTGTATATATATATATATATATATATATATATATATATATATATACACACACACACCACATTTTCTTGTGTACAGTACAGTGGTACATTTTTGGGGTTCTAAAGCTTTAACAGATATGGGGGCCCCCTTTGTAATCAGCAACAATAGATTCAAGGATCCAACTGCCAAATGCTATGAATAGATTCTGGTCAGCTCAACAAGCCCATACAGGTGGGATGTTCAGGTACTGCAAATTCCAAACAAAATTTTGAAATTTGACTAATTGCAAAGGAATTCTGAGGCCATATGAGATGGGTATTAGAGCATATTCTAAGGCCAATATTATCCACTTTAATCCATTGCATTATGATTCTATTACTGAAATTGCTTTATTTTAATAAGAAACACTTAAAAAGAAAATATTGATTTTGTTGAAATCTTCACTCATTAAAAAATGTTGCTTCAGTGGCCCCTTCTGAGATTAGGGGTCCTGAAGCTGAAGCTTCATTAGTTTCATAGTAGATCAGCCACTGGTATAATATGACTTGAATATAATACAACTTTGTGATTCTTAAACTAAAAATATGGAATAAATTACATCCTTGAGTATTATATGACCCTGTAGTATAGCTATCCCTATGTAATTTTTTGTTTTTGAAAAGTTGTACCATTAAAATCTCAATGTTGTATATATATTTCGCTAAAATATTTAATTTTTCACAATATTAAAGAATAGAGCTGAATCAGATGTTTAGCCATTGAGTGTTTCTTCTCCTAATTTCCATTTCAAAACTTATTTTTTGGGAAAGGTGTTCTGTTGTAGCATGACAGGTCTTAAGTATTCCCTACATTAACTTTTTTTAATCAATTTCAGTGAATCTTTGAGACAAATGACATTCAATTATGTTGATTCCCAAAGATCAAATATGGCTAACATATCAAATACTTTTTGTAAACAATTATTATCAACACTTGCCTACTTTGTGTTTTATTATCTATTCTTCTGAATGTATTTGCAATCTTGCTGTTTCAAATAAGAGGTTTTTTAAGCTAAGTAAAAAAATTTTGTGTTTGTATATAATACTATAGTCATCAAATTGTACAAAAGTATAAAATTGTACACAAGTAACTGGGCAATATTAAACATTATCATTCAGTTACACTGTAGAATTAGCCAATTAGTAAAATTTAATTTAAGTAAAAAAATAAACTTTATCTTGTGAGAAAAACTGTTCAAATTTTAAAGATTACATTGATTCCCAAAGAACAAATATGGCTGACATATTAAATACATTTTGTAAACAATTATTATCAACACTTGCCTACTTTATATTTTATTCTCTATTGTTCTCAGTATATTTGCAATATTGCTGTTTCAAAGAGGAGATTTTTTTTAAGCAGAATAAAAATTTCTGAAAATGTGTACTTGTGTATAATATGACCCTCCTCTTTTTGTTCTTATACACAAGGAAATATGGTAGATATATTCTTTGGAAAAAACTTCTTAAAAATGAATGCAAAAGGTAATTTAATATAATGTCATGTTGTATAATTTGCTTCAGCAAAATACAAATAAATAGTGTTATATGATAAGTGTATGACTTGTTATCAGAGCTGTAGAGAAAAATGTTCCTTCAGAAATTGTTAATGACAAATTAACCTTATTTTAAATTACCTTTGGCAAAAGAGTTGGACAGTTGCTATTTTTTCAACTGTGTATATCTATTTCCTTGCATAAGATCTCCAAAAGTTCTTTATGAATTGCAATGATATTTTCTAGAAAGACCAAGGAACAATTGCTTAAATTTTGGAATGTCAAATATTTAATGCATGCAAGCAATGGTATGCAATATATGGAAAAATTTGTATTAACACAGTTACTTTGTATAGCATCTATCTATGAACTGATTTTATTCAGTTTTTAGTGACACCGATGTTACTAGATGTACATCCTGTCTGAGTGCTTTTTAGTTTTGGTTGTGAAGAAGGAATTAACAAGACAAAGGCACAATACAATATTAAAGAAACTTGTTTTTTTCAAGTTTTCTGCTTAGTCTCATTTACCATGTTTTAATGAGTGTTAGTTCTGACTGAAATAATTCTGTTCAAGTTTTCAAAAAATCTGATAAAGTTAATAACTGAATTCTCATTTGAGAACAAAGGGAACATAAGTTGCTTTTTACAATAAGCAGACATTGGAACAACTGCTTCTCCAAGATGTAATGTCTTTTAAGAATTCTTCATAGATCAGTGGTTATTATTTTGACAGAGAGTTAGAAGAAGAACACAGAAATCAAATGAAGAAGCTGGAAGCTAACCATCGTGAAGAGTTTGAAGGCTATAAAAGAATGATGGAAGCCCAGATAGGTAGGTGCCTGTTCCTAAATTAAATTTGTCAACAAAACAATATTAGCTGATCTTAGTGATGTTTTATTCAACTGGACTTTCTTGAGCAGATGTATTATCTTTCTGTTATTAGATGAAGCATTGCCAACCATTGTTATTAATTTCTGGCAAGTATTTACTTTAATCTTCATTTTTGATTAGATAATTGTTTTTGCAACTTACTCAGGCAATAGCAGCACCAGAAATAAAGGATAATCTCTAGGTGAGATTCAAATTCATTTTTTTTTTTTTTTTGCTTTTTTGCTTTGCTGGATTGAATGCCCCAGTTGCTTTTAAGCACAAAACTATGAGAACTTGATTACTCTGCAGAAGATCACATCTTATAAATCCATTACTTCATTCCTTGATCTTTATCAGTAGCATGTTTGTTTTTAGACTTATAGTTTTAAAAGCAGCAATTTTTATTAGAAGAATCATTATCAACCATTATCATTATTTTTTTAGTAGTATTTCCTTTAATCTTCATTTTTTATTAGATGAAGCATTGTCAACCATTATTATTAATTTTTGATTAGTATTTATTTTCCTCTTTAGTTTTTATTAGATAAATTATTATTTATATTATTTACATGTGGATTATTGTCTTCATCTTTGATGATGTTATCATATTTTGGCCAATGTGCCAAATAGATAAAGTATTGCCAAACATTAATATTAATTTTTGAGTTGAATATTTTCTTTCATCTTCAGCTTTTATTAGATAAACCATTGTCAACTATTATTAATAATTTTTAACAATTTTTTGCTTTCATTTTAATTTTTTAGTTGCTTTTTATTGAACTTTTACTCAGGCTATCAATTATGTTAGTAAGTAGAAGGCACAGAATCAAAACCTTGTGCTATTTGTTTGCTGCCATAGATTTGTCGGAGTTAACTCCTCCTTTAGTTCGTTAACCCTTTCACCAGGGGTCTCTCTTCCCTGGCTATAAATAGTCGCTGACCCTTCGCCTCTTTCTCTTTTTCCCTCAGGCCTTTGCGCCGACACCTGGAGGTAAATCTCTCTTTTTCCTCAGGCTTTCAGCCTTATTACCTTGAAAATGTAAGCGCTCACAGAGAGATAGCATTTCCCAAATGCTGGGAACATGCTAAGAACAATACACACACACACACACACACTTTGTCCTTTGTAACTGTTTCCATGTAACTTGTTATTAATATATATATATTTGTATACATATATTATCGGTCTTGTGTTTTGTTTGTTTTCTTTGCCTTCTTCTTTGGACTTAATTAAAAGTCCAACTTTCTCATGTAGTTGGACCAGCTAGCATGAAAATCTGAACCCACACGTGTTTCTTCTACTTCTACTCAACAACATCACAGCCACGGTCCACTACAGATTAATGGCTTGACTAAAAAATCAAAATAAAAGTAAATACTTGTCAACAATTAATAAGAGTGTTTCATTTGCTCTACATTAAAGTACAGAAAGAGAAAATACTAAGATGATGTAATAGTTTCAACTTTTAAATACAATTGGTAAAGTAATTTCTTTGAAAGAGAAATTTTCTTCTTCATTTAACTTTCTTTTTAATTAATGCTTTGGAAATTGTTATATTGAGATTGTGAACATTTTAAGTAATATTGGAATGATTTGAAGAAAAAAATTTTAAATATTTTCCACAAAAAAAATTATCTACAATACCCTCAATTTTGTTAAATAAAACAAAATCTATTTTTAAAATATTCTGTGATTTTCTCCCTGTTGAAAAAATTATCTCTATGCCATTTTAAGCCAAACCTAATAAAATCTGTTTTCCGTATTGAGACTTTTCTTTGCAACATAGTTTTCCTTGTAGCAATAGTCTTTGCTATAGTCTTAGTTGTTTACACATGCAAGGCAAGGAATTAACTATTTTCTACCCTTTGATGAGAATCATTCCATTACTTTTTATTTATTTTTAATTAAGAAGTTACTTTTTCTCTAATTGGAGGTCTTTAGTGTTGACAGAGATTTTTCTGTGAAATGAAACACAAATAGAGCCAGAGTGCTGTGTGTCAGAGATTTTTTGAAATCCTAAAAGTTAAACCAGAATTCTCATATTGTATGCCTTCAAGTCATTACTTGTAAAAACAGTGTAGCATAGGAAAGCTGCAACAGTTCAGAAAATCATGAGAAAAGAGAGAAAGAAAAAAACACATTTTTTTTTAATTATTTTCTTTTTATCATTGCACAAATCTTTCAACTGAATTATCCAAAACATTGGCCACCTTTACTACAGGAATACTCTTGCTAGAATGCCAGAAAATTTATTGTTGATTAATCTTCTGAAAAAGTTTCAATAAATAAGCTAAGGGAGATAATCAATTGATAACAAACAAAATTTTGCTATATTTTATGTAGTAACTTTACTCCTTAAAAATTTTATTTTTTTCTAAATTCTGAAAGTGCTTCATCTTATATTTCTTAACTTCCATGAATAAAATTTGGATTAAGTCAAGTATACTTTAAGTATATACGAAAAAGATGCTATTCATAGGCTATTTGTTAATTAAAATGTAATAAAAATTAAAAGAATATTAAATTTAATTTTCATTGTTTTAAATAACTATAATTGACATATTTTATTTGAAAAAGAAATATGTAAGTAACTGATAGGAATAATTACTAACAAAAAAATAAGAAAATTCAGAAAAAGTGAAAATTAGTATTCCAAAAGTAACTTTACTTAAATATTTCAGGTAACTGGCATATTAGTATGTCAATTGTCTGATGTTTAAATAATAGCAGGATTCACTTAATTTTATATATCTGTTTGTTTTAACTTGACAAAGCAAACAAACAAAATTGACATTAGCTTTTATATAGTAAGATTTGAGTTTACAAAGCACACCAATGTTTTTATCCTTCATTTTTCAGAGGCTGGTTATTTTATCTTGGGGCAGTAACTTTACTTTAAATATTTAACTGTGTGACTTGATCCCAGATGTCAGTATAACCTATCAATGTTACATGTGGTTGAGTGAAAACAAACCATGTAATCATATTACATAACTTATGTATAGATATGATTACATGAACAATCATATATAGAAATAAGTTCAACCACAACTTCGATCTAACGAATGCCATACTTATTAAAATAGAAAGTAACTTATTTAGATGGAAAATTCTTGAGAGTGCTCTTATTGAATCTTGCAAAAATATAAATCTGCACCCGAGAGTTTTACAAATATCTCCTTTCCTTAGCCAACATACATGACTATAATTTTTTAAAAAGTTGAAAGAAAACAGTTAAATTCAAAACCTTCTATTATTTAAAGTATATAATGCATAAATTAACCACAAACTAAGATAATACAAATAATAATTACATTATGAAAAATAAAAAATTCAACAACAAACTTTTGTTTATTAGACATTAAATTATATCACTAATTGCTTCTGCCATAATTTACCTTGATTTTGAGATAACCTAATGTATATTTATGAATGTTCTTAAATTTAAAAAGTCTGAAAAACTAGCAACATTTTTACTCCTGTTTATAAATACTTGTTGCAAAATAAAATCCATCAGAGGACAAAACACATTGGCTAAAAATAAGTTTTCCTTTTTCTCTTTATTCATATTTTGTCCTTTTTACAGATATATTTTTAGTTATAATCTGAATTTTTATTTTTTGCATATCTATGTAGTCCTGGTTTTTACTAGGATAGATGTTAATAAAAAGCCCCAGGGGGCCATCTCCTCAGGCAGTACCTCTACTTCAGGCTGGGGCCATTACCCGACACTTGAAGTGTCCCCAAAAAGATCCCAGCCACTGGCTGTATATAACAGAAACACAGATCAAAACAAAATCAATCCTTCTTCTCCTATGTCTCACTCATAGTGTCACTAGATAAAGAACACTAGACTGTGAAAATCAAAATATATTATTACATTGCTATTATGCCACATGTAAATTATTAGAATCTTGATGGAAACAAGACATTGCATATCTACTGACTTTTCACTGTTTAATTGTGTTTTATTTCCTTACACAAATTTAATTTTGGAATCTATTTCTGCTGCATTTGTTTATTTGTCTTTTTATATTCTGCCAGCTCACATGAAAGAAGATAATGATTTTATCCAAAGTGCATTCACTTCATATCGAGCAACAATACACGAGGAGATGAAGGTCAAATGGGCTCAGAGAGAGCAGACACTTAAAGAAGAGTTTCAGGCAAAAAATCAACAGGAAGTAGACATTATATGTCAGTATGTGCAGTATAAAGCCTGCAGTATATATATATATATATATATTGTCACTTTCAGTGGATACCTAAATATGCCTTGGTGTGCTACTAACCTCTTTTCACTCAACACCTAACACTGGGCCTCATTAAATGTGCTTCAAATATTTTGCCTTTTTATATCTGTATTTGAAAAGATATAACCATTGAAAGAACCCCAACTATTATTTTATCCATTTATTACATGGTGAACTCCCTGCTTTTATGTCTTTGTGCTTATTATCCTCAGCAATGATGGTGCAGGTTAATTCTGTTATAACCTATTTGGCCAAAGGTGAATAACATTTGTAAATATTTGTTGATATTCAGTTTGTTAATAATTTGAAAATTTTATGCTTCAGTAAATATAAATTGCTTGCCTGTTTTGTACTAATATCTTTTAAATTTGCTTAAATGATTGCTTTGAAAAGCAAATATTCACCAACTTCTTGAAGTTTTATTATATTTGATAGATACTAATTTTTGTGTCTTTGTTATAAAAGTAATTGTATTAACAACGTTCTATTTCATATTATTGGGTTGGAACAAAAGTCCAGAGCATTTTTTAAGAGAATTTCAAAGACAATATTTAAATATTTATACATAAATTTATTCAACCACATATGTTTCATTTTGTTCTATGGAAGTCAACAGGTAATGTTTTTGTGTGTATTTTAGGTTAAGGTGTGTGTTCAATATGTAAACAAATGAGATAGAAGCATAGAGTAACTTGAGTTTCTGCTACAGATGTTTATTACTTTTATAGTGACTGTAGTGAAACAAAGTTCTCAATGTCTCTTGAGTATGTCCATTTTATTTTTTGGTTCAGAAGCAAGTTAGGATAACATTGGTTAAAATGTCCGAGCTTTACACTGAATTGGAATGACCAATTCACTTACTTCATGAGTAGGGCTACCGAAACATATCCAAAGTAGAAAATAGAAATATTCTGTCCTTTCTAGAAGTAGTGTGATAAAATGCACATGTGACCAAAAACACTTTACAGTTTCTTTATAACTTGCATCATGGGAAAATGAATTACTATTTTCTTTTAGTCTTTATTATTATTTTATTTATTGGTTTTACTTCATTTTCCCACAGTTCAACTATGTTTTGCCATCTTTGAGGCAGCTTCATGATTCCATCTCCCCAGAATTTAACCTCTTTCTGGGTGATGAATTGGTCTAATTGGTCTTTACAGGATTCCAGAGAATTGAATTTCTTCCTATTAAGATAATTTTGTAAGGATCAAAATAAGTGGTAATCCAAAATGCAAGGTCAGATGTGTACAGCAGGTGTAGGTGTTACCCTAATGGAAGATGACATCCTTTCTCTTAGTCAATTCTAGACACTTTTCATTGATTTAATTAGTCTAACTGGGAACAGTACTTGTCTGAATGCAACATCTGATTTTGTGGCAGGAGTTTGTAATAATAATGCACTTTCAATTCCACTAGATATACAGCACCTTTTTCAGATGCAGACTGGCTTTTGGAGTTGTTTTAATGGTGGCTCATTTAATTTTCCCAAGGATATTTTTCATTCACCATTGTTGTAAAGAATCCATTTTTCATCATCTGTGATTGTTCTTTTCAAAAATGGGTTGTTTTTGTTATGTTTCAACAGAAAATTTTAGATGAAAATGCAATTAAGTTTTTTTCTGTTAAAGCATTATTTCTTCCAAACATCCAAGATTTTCCAAATGTTTTAAAATGCTTGTATGAGGTAATGATTTTCCAAGTGTAGCTTAGATGTGGCACAAGGCCGAAAGTAGGGGGCACCCAGTGAGGATCAAACTCACTACTCAGTTGTAATTGTTCTAGCGAGGCAAGCTTGCTAACCATTACACCGCCTCGAGGTACCCAATGCTCATATGAGATATGTAGAGTATCTCTGTGATATCCTGTGTCCATTTGTGGCTTTATGTCTTGTAAAGACATTAGGCCCCAAATGGAGTATTGCTGCCATATCTGGGCTGGAGCTGCTCAGTTATCACTTTTCAACCTTGAGTTCAAAATCATTGACTTGATCTTGTGGAGATCAAGTCCACCCATTGTTACTTCTATGGTAAATGTTCAAATGAGTTCTGTTCTTTACTTCAGCCAGTTCAGACCTTTCCATCTAGGATATACCATACTACTCCACAGAGTCAAAATACTTTCATTTCCCACATATTCCAACTATAAGGAGAAAGCTCTTTTTTTTCAAGAATTATTACTCGTTGAAACAGACTTCCCTGAACACTACAATATTAGTCTTTTTGAGTCAGGTGTCTATCATTACTGATCTTTCTTATTCTCATAATCTTTACCTCCTACCACCTACTCTTTTAGTCATAACATACACACCTCATTCATTAGGACAGTTTTTTTCTACCCTGAGTGGCTCTCAAGCTTTGTATTGGGTGAAATTTAGAAAAAAAACCAATAAAATAGAATAAAAGAAGTAACCAGTTTTAATGATGTCTGATGAGATGATTGTGAATTTCTGAGTGTTTTGCTTTGTTGTTATTTTTTATGCATTTTACTCACAGTAAACCTAAGCCTCATGCTTTACAGTTCTAATTTCTTCTACAGGTGAACAGTTAAGCAAAGAGAAAGATTTGGAAATGAGTACCTTGTTAAAAGACCATCGGAAAGAAGTGGATCAGCTAAAAAAAGAACATGGTAAAGAGCTTGAGGCAGGTAGTGATTTCAGATTCATTTCTCTTAAATCCATCTTTTCATTCAAACCCAATAAGAGAGAGAGTGGTTCTTTAGAATTTTTTTATTGTTTTTCTAGAAAACTTTTCTTTGGTCAGTGATTAATGCAAATAATTTAATAGAAAAAAAAATCAATATTCAGGTATGAATTATCATAAAAACAAGGAGTAAGTTTCAGAACTCCAAAGCATTTCATAGTAAGCTGATCTATCCACTGACCTAGCTCTCATGGTCCAATGGTGGAGGAACTGGATTGTAACAATTAAGATGAGGGCCTGTTGTTTTCAGAAGTAGGGCAGGTTACTGGCAGAGTGAGTTTGATGTGTAAGAGCTGAAACTCACAACAAAACCAGAGCACATCAGTGATCACTTGCCTTGACACATATTTAGGATGTATTGTCTTGATTTGACTGGAGGAGTAAAGACAGTCTAGTGCTTCATTCCAATGACAAGGATTATTCCTGTAGAAAATTCAAATAGCAGAAAAAACTGATCTGATACTAGATTGAAAATTCCAAATATAAAGTTACCAAATTATTTGCTATTTCTGTCTAAATTACTGGGATGAGGAGTTATCATTATTTACACATGGACTGTTAGTAGTCCAGTATGTCATGGTTGGTTCATGAATTTGGTGACATAGTAAATGTGAGTATAATTCTTGGGATGGGCGTTGTGTACTTGGACTCAGTGGAAATGAGGTGAGCATTAACTAAACAATATCAAATAAGACTTGGACAAGATATCTCTAGACATGGCCAGTGGAATGAGAATTATCTAACCCTATAGATTAAATAAAGAATTCAGTTTGAAATTCCTTGATGGTTACCTAGGTCAACAAGCACCTGATGAAGACTGGAGGGCACAACAGCCAAAATGTTGGTGATAACAACAGCAACGATGAGGACGATAGTAAATAATGTAAATGTTTGTCATATTGCTTTCTAAATTTCCTTCTTAATAATAATAAACCAGGAAAACTTCAAGAGAAATGTTGTTTTTTTTTGTCACTTGCTGTCTATTTGTAAAAATCTATGATAATAAATTTCAAGATACATTTTTATGGCTGAAATAGTTTTTCACCAATGCTAGAGATTAGGGTGAAAGCTGAAATTTTGGATGCTGATTTTATAGTTAAGCAAGAAGTGAATGCAATCAAGCATGACAGTAGCAGCAAACAATATGACCATTAGATTTAAGGCTCCAAATTCTAGATTCAAGATTGTCCGACAGGATGTAGTGAATTAAAGGATTGTTTTATGAATTTGTTGACTTAGTAATTGCAAGCTCAATCCTTGGGCTGACTAATATGGATTTAGTCTCAGTGGAAACAGGGTGAGCAATAACTGAACAGTACTAAACAAGAACAAACATTCTGACACATAGAAAATGAAATGGGAGCAATATACAAATAAAGAGTTTGAAATTCCCTGAAGATTATCTGGATTAACAAATACCTGAAGAAAACTGTAGGTCATAACAGCCAAAACATTATGATAATAACAACAAAGATTATGTCAATAGTTTGAATATAAATAATGGTGTAATAGAAAATTCCCTCCTTCCAGCCTTTGGCCTTGTGCCATACTAATCTGTGTCTAATCAAGATAAATGCATTTACATCAAATTCAAGGTTTTAGCAAAATTCAAAGAGTTTTATTATATAGAATTTGTTTACAAATATTTTCACTTTATGAAATGTATTTTGACATTTTTATATCCAGGAAACTCACTGAATGAATAATCATTGGATTTGCATTTCTCGAGATGTTTATAAATAATTTAATCTAAGTGATAACATATTGAGAATCATAAATAACTTTACTTTTTTTTTTTATTGCACTGAGTGCTACAGAAAGTGTTCCTCTGTCTAGACAGTGTTTGAATAAATTATTTTTGTTTTTGCTTAGCAGGATATGGCCTTGTATTATACAGATATCACAGAAAAGCTGAAGAAAATGAAAGCCTTGACACGAGAACTTAAAGTGAGTACAATTTACTTGTTTCACTATTTCAATACAAAGGATTAAAATAATAGTGAAATGTCTTTATAATTTTAATGCAAAAGATGTTATGATAATTTTTCTTACAATTGCAAATAAAAACTTCACATTAAAATAGCAAATTATAATAGATGTATTAGAAAGAATGGTTCCTAAGAATTGTATAAAAGTGTGCTGAACCGTTTTCAGTCTGTCTCATGTCCAAAAATCTAATCAAATATCAGAATTTTATTTTTTTAAATCTTTTAGTTGGGCAGAACACTCTCATAATATGAAATGGATTTTACATGAATTTCACAATCTTTTAATTGCATCTCTCTCACTATATATATATATATATATATATATATATATATATATATATATATGTAAATGCAAATGTAAGTGTGTCACACTTTTTCAACTTTACTCCTAGAGGCCATATCCCAACATATCATACCATTTTGAAATAAGGACAACTCTGTGAGCAAATTAAAAACATTCCAGACCAGATCCAGACCCACAATCCTGAAATTTTGGATTCCCAAGTTTTCATTACTGTGATTGCTTTTGGTGATTTTTTAAGGGATTTTTTCCAACAATTTTTTTTTTGTACAATAACAATTTTTATAACTTGGAAATAAATTTGGAAATAATTGAAATTAATTGTGAAATCCAGCAAAAGTCACACATGAAATAAAAATAATTGCTTGTATGGAAAGTAAAGACCTACATACATCAAATTGTCTTTAAATTAAGTGGTAGCAGAAAAATTATTGTTGAACTTTTAAAAGTAAGCTTAAATATTAATGCAATACTTAAATGCAGCAATCAATTTTGAGTTCTGTAGTTTATTGTTGCTTATCACATCTACTATCTACCTATTGTGATGAAGGCCCAATCAAGAGTCCTCTGCAGGAGCTAGCATAAATGATGTCAGATATGGAAGCTTTTAAACTAATATATAGGATTTATACAAATTTAAAATTTGTCACTTAGCTGATTGATGTAATATTCAGCACCCCGACTCTTTAATTAATTATACAAAATTGTTTTGTAATCATTTGAAACTTGTATAGGAGGTTTTTTAATTTTAAAATTTTCATTATTTTCATACTATTATATGGCTGTTGGGATGAACAAAAATGAATGAAAATAAAAGACAAGTGTATTTTAACACATGAGTGAACAACCTTTATCCATTCACTGTCTGAGAGCAGCAAGGATTGCATAGATTAAAAAAATGAATTCTATGTGCATGTTAACCTGTCACCATATTCAATTCAGAAGTGGTGTGTCTTCTTCACAGTCAAGAAAAGTAACTCAATTGCATTTTGAGTTGTTGTCATTTATAAGGGAAATTAGCTTCCTCTAACATATACTAATTTAAAAATAATTTATGAACTATTTATTAGTGCTAGGTTTATTTTTCCTTTGTGTGTGTTTTTCCCAAATTTGTTTTTGTTCTCAAAAAGAAGAATAAATATTGATATTCATTTAAGGAAATAGAATGTTTTTTAATACAAAACCCAGGTTGTTTTACTACCACATTGAGGATATGCAAATATTTAATGAGCCAAAAATCAACAGGTAAAATTTTGATAACCAAAAAAATTTGACATCATATTTTTGCCCAGTTGTACTGACATCTATTGAGTCTGTGTGAACGGCAGTCTACTTCTGAAATTTCACATATTTTTTCCCCTTGAGTTTTTCAATGGTAAGGGCTTTTATAAAGTAATGAATTGTTTTATTTTTGGTTGGAGGAGGAGGTAAGAAGTTTATATTATGAGGATACGCAGCATGGATAACAGTTGACCCTAAACTTGAAGTGGTTTTGATTGTAGTGATTGGAAAAGCATTCTCTTGGGAATCTTTTCTATAAATTAGCAGTTCTTGGGAAGAAGATATTTGAATGGAACTTCTTTCTCACCAATGGAATACAAAGGGAACAAGGATGATTCAACCCTATAAATTGATGATGAAGGATGAATCTTAGCTTTAAAGATCTGAGCTCATTTGGAACAAAAAAATCTTTTTCATCAGAAATTTTCCATGGAAATAGCAGTAAATAACAAGAGGTTTTCAACATTTAAAAAAGTCCAAAGTAGATATGGCAACATACTCCATTTTTGGATTGATCCGACTCTTTAAAAATAAAACATTGTATGGTTTTTATTTTCTTGAAATAGATGTAACCCGGATAATAAGAGATTCCGGGACTGGAGAAGTAAATTCTTATATCCGGGTTTGGTTTATTTTGTTTAGGTAGCACAGGCCTAATTTGGGACCAAAAAAATATTTTCTTATATAAGGGTTACACCTTTATAAAGAACCAACTATTTTCCATCATCTTTAGGAATGAATTGTATATATGCGTTCCACTTGAGTTCTGGGGTAAAATTGACATTCAAAACATGGAGCCTTTTTGAGAGTACAATTATTCCTCATGACAGGAGAACATTTGGGGTCTGATTGTTGATAATGAAATCATAGGAAAAACTACTAATTTTGGTTATTTAATGTTATATAAACTTTTTGAATTTAAAATACTATTACCAGTTAAATCAAAGGATAGTTGAGTTGTCTATAGGCTCAAAATCATCTAACATTTAGGAGGTTCTTCCATAAACTGAGGGATTATCTGGAAATCCATTTAATAATTTCAGAGAATGTTCTCAGGCAAAAAATAAATATTAAGCAAAAAGGGTAGGAATTGTCCTCCTGATTATTTTCTTATTTTCTTCTGAAGTCTGGTTATTAACAATGGCCTTCATGGACCTGTGCCTGACAGGAAGGATTTGATAATTGTAAAGACTCTTTCGGAGATGCCATAGCTGGAGAGTTTGTGTAACAACCTCCTATGTCACACTTTGTCTGAAAGGCCTGTGATATCTAAGGCAATTGCTCTTGTGATGAATTTATTATTGAGTGCCTCACTGATTCTGTGTCTAATGACAAGATATCAACAGTGGATGTAGAAGAGTGAAATTCATACTGCTTGTTGCTCAGGAGGTTGTTTCTTTTGAGATAATCAAAAACTTTCTTGTTGATCATAGACTCAAAAAGTTTGCTAATGATACTAAGGAGACTGATGGATCAATGTTGTGAATAAGATGAGTGCTCATATGCATTCTTGAAAATAGAGCATACAGCTGACACCTTTCAAAAACTTAGGAAACATTTCTCCTTCAAATAGTGGTTAATCAATTTTGCCAAGATTGGGGATAACTCTGGGATAAGGTTCTTAAGAACAACCAGAGAGTTTTTATCTGGACCAGTAGCCCTAGTAGAATTAAGGCTTTTGATGGGTCTGGAAACTTCACTTGCCAAGATAGAGATATTACAAAGTTTGTGTTTAATGAAAAGAGGGAAGTCAGATAGGAGATGGCCCTTGTTGTCTAACATGGAGTTAAAGGCAAAGTTCATTATAAAGACCTTATTCTTATTTGAAATTTTAAAAAGATAACCTCAGGACAATTTATAATAGTAGGCACTGATGTTTTGCTTCAATTGACAATTTTGTTTGAGATTTTCTAGAACTGAAAGGAACCAAGAAAATTTGTTTCTAATTTTGATCTCAAAGACAGAAAAATGCATTGCTTTTTTTTGCATTTTCACATCCAGTCGATAGATTTTGATATAGAATGAATCAGAAAGAGATCTACCATGAATCAAAGAAGAACATGATGACACATTTTGTGAAGAGATAAAAAGTAACTAATCTTGGAATTGGGAATCTGCTAATTGGATTCTATCTCCTGACTGCACTTAAAAAGCAAAGATAAAAGTATTTTTTCTTGGCTGTTATTAATATCAAATCATGTTGGCAACTTGAGGAATATTTTTATATATATTTAGGCATTTAATCTGTCATAAATTTATATTGCTGTTTCATTAAAAATGACTGACAATGTACTGCGGTTAAGTTTTTTATTTGATTTTTTTTTGTGTTCTTATAATTTTCTTCTTTTCTGGACATAAATTATGTAGAAATTGTCTGAATATTCTGTATAAATTGAGCACTTTTTTCTTTATATTTTTAACTATAATTAAAGATGATTTTTTAATTTTTACTTTTAACTGAATATGTTGGATTATTACAAATTTTCATTCTGAATGCAAAGGAAATGTTCATTAAATTAATTCCACAATGCAGAGAACAAATCACTGTAAGTTCAGACTTGAATATCGGGGGAAGAAAAAATGCCGAAAACTTCGATTCGCTGGTACTATCTCATAAATCCCAATGCATGTAACCAGTCAGAAAAATAACTCACTCGCCAATGAATGTGGTAGCCAAAATACATCAGTTTTTCCTCTCAATTCGAGAACACCAACTGCTTTTATCGGCAGAGCTCTTTTTTTTCATTTTTGACAACTGGGAGAGGGACGTCCAAGATTTTTATAACAAAATACTTTTTATAGAGACTTTCTGAAGAGTCGATGGACTTGTTTTAATCTAAATATTAGTCTTCAGCATGTAATGGAATACCTTTTTTTTTGGTAATTAATTTTCTTTTCTAACTGGACAATTTAGACATAGTTGGTTTGACAATAATTAAAATAAAATTTTCTTCATTCATAAAATGTATTAGAGTTAAATGAATGTTTTATTTTCCAAACATGATCAGCACATTATGGTAATGTTCATTGATGATATTATTGTTGGCTTTTTCTTTTTTATTAATAATGATTCCATTATTTTTAACCTTAAATTATAAAGTGAGATAAATATTTAAAGGATAATCAGCAACTTCCATCTCAGGTGTTTGTGGTTTTCTATCTTGACTGATGAATTTATAAAGTTTATATATCAATGTTTATATTTGAAATTTATTCATATTTTGTTTTGTTTTTCCTTTAAGAATCTAAAAGGTGAACATGAAGATCTGAAGACAGCATATTCAGAGCTTGAAAAACATTGTTCAAGTGTTAACAAGGAACTCATCAACACTGTAAGTAATTGGAATAAACAAAAACAAGTCATCACTTTTCTTCAGTGGATTTTTCTTTTTTTCAAAACATAAGTTTGTTTTAGCTATATAATTGATTTTAACAGATGAGCAAACAATGTATTACCATTATAATTCTTTGTACCAAGGAATGACTAGTGATTTATAAAAATGAGAGCTAGATTAAAAAATCTGTAATTTTGACAAATTTTAAGTTGATCACAGAGGTCAATGGGGAGGATGAAGTCTGTTTTATGATAGTGACAATCTTCAGCCTGAAGATTGCATTCAAACATGAAACAGACTGTCAATGCTAGGTGTTGATCCCAATGTCTACTTTTAGATTTTAGATTTACATGCCCTCTGTCCATGATATTTATCATTTTTGTTTAAAAATATATAATATACCTTAAAACTATTTTTATCTTGTATGTATGTGTGTGTAAATAATCATCAACATAGATTCTTCCTGAAATAAATAGATACATTGATATTTATCACTTCATATTCACCATTTATACATGAGAACAAACCAAAAATTGTTTTTTATACTTTTCTCATAGCATTAATTTGGGGTAAAGCTCTTTTTTGTTTTGTTATAAGTTGTTAAATATACATTGAAGGAACTTATTTTTTGGGTAAAGTGTTGTGGAGTGATTTCACAGTGGAGGCTTGTATTTGTACTAAGTCGGTCCTAAAATAGGTTCGACATACAAAACGTTAGGAACTTGATATAATAGGTATAACGCAGAGTAATCTAATTGTGGTTGCTGATACTTTAGTATTCAACTAACTGTCGTCCGACATCGACTCACTGACCGACTCCCACGTTACTCTTACTACTCCTACTTATTATAGGTGGGAGAGTCTATTAACTATAGAATAGATGTGTTCCACTATAACATAAAGTAATCCATGTATATAGATTAAATAGATCTACACTTAGTTCCTCTTAGTCTATGCTAAGGCATCCAGTAGAAATTAAACTCACTAACAGGTTGTGAGATTTTATAATCAGTGTTCTGACTCAATCTATGTCGCCCAGAAAACACAAATGTTTGGATTTTATAAGTTAATGAAGATGAACCTTAAAGAGGAAATTTGAACTTTTTATCCATCATCAGGTATCATGGGTTAAACTTCAGAAGAAATATTCAGAAGTTGATCTACTTGCATCAATGGTGTCAGTTGTCTAGCCTAAGAAAAGCAAAAAATTTCAAATGTTAATTTTCAAAGGAGCCAAATCATAAAAGATTTGCATAATATAATCTTCCTTTTGTCTGGTGTTAGACTAAGCTAATCTCATTGAACATTATTTACTTAGATGAGTATCCTTATCTTGGTTGTTATTTCAGACTTTTTACCCTTTGGCTTTCTTCATGTGTCTGTCATACTTGATGACCTATAATTTCTGAGCTGAACACTTTGTTCACATTCCACTGTCTAGATTAGAAGTTACCTTATGTAAGTTATTTTTAATTAATTTATCTTGTGTGACCTGATGGAACCTTTCTGTGATCAAGACAGCCAGTCCAAAAGAGAAACAATTATCTGGAATTGGAATGGCAGAAGTGATGGCACTGGTACCCTGAATCCATCATAAAAATTCAGGATGTGGAATTAGTAAATACCAAACACTTCAAATACCTAGGCATATGGATCAGTTATAACAAATTTAGTATAGGAGATAATTGAACTGGGCTGGTGTTGAAGACACTGCTCGAACCTTGTGGACTGGTGTGAAAATCACAAATAAAGAATTGTACCAAATAACAGAAACCATATCACTTGAGGACTTTTGACAGCAGCAACAGCTAAAATGGGTATAACGTTATTTGAAGAGAAACTAATGATATAATCAAGATGTTGACATTCCACACTACTACAAATAAAAGGTTAGGAAAGAAAAAGTGATAATAGCTACTGAAACTGAACCTGAGAAACTTATTTTCCTGAAAAATTGTTTTAAGACAAAGATTTTATAAATTTCAACTGAAGCAGCATTGACTACTCGGTCAATGACTATTTCATTATAAGGAAATGGCTAATATAACTATTACATAGTAAAGTGGATGATGAATAATTTTATCCGAGTCTGAAATATCTGGTCTTTTATGACCAGCAGTAAATTCTATGAAATAAAATCTTCAAAGCAACCACATACTGTCCAGAAGTAATAGAAAGGAAATAGGAGTAAATAAATAAATAAATTGGGATCAAGTGACACTTGACTGGAAGTTAGGAAGTCCTGGCTGTAGGGTTATATAGGCAAATCATAGTTATAATGGTCAGTTGCAAGCCACATGTAGAAGGTGGCAAGATAGCAGTCAGTTATGACCTGGTCATTAGGAGTGATGAGCAAGATAGATAGAGCAAGGGAGATGAAGAGTTGAAAGTCAATGGCTGAACAGAAGATCTGATCTGTTAGTTTGTCATGAGTGAAGACAGTAGCAGCAGCAAAGATGTTTCAAGTGTCTCCCAGACTGTGCCAAATAAATCTGTGAATAAATAACCAAATATATTGAAAACAGAATTTGTATTTTGATTTCTTGCCATGGTATTTTCATCATCTATTGCTCTGTTGAACATAAACTGCCCCTCCCCATTTTTGTTCACATCAATACAAAGTGGAATTGAATGGAATGATTTGTCTCATTGGTGAAAGACTAAATCAGGGCCCAAGTTATGTTTACACTTGCTTCTTTTACTGAACCAGCGTATATATGAATTTTTTCTTTACCCAACCCAGGGATTGAACTCACAACTTAAAGTTGTTTGTCTGCCTCTTCAACTGGGCTTCAGTATATAACTTTTAAACAACCTATAGTATAATTAGGTGTTGAAATATGTTGAGTCTTAGGTTCTATCTTTTTGTAATTAAAGATTCCCATTTGATGCTGATTTCTATGGTGGGCTTACTGACATTTGTCTGAGTAAATCCACATATACTAATAATGATATAATAATATTATTATAATAATAATGATGTCATATAGTAATGACAATTCTTTGAGTTAAAAAAATTCAGAAAAATGTAAATATTCAGTAAGTTCCTTTTCTTTATGTTTCCACAATTTTCCTCTGACTTCTTTCAGCGAGGTCGTCTGCAAGCGCATGAAGAAAACTTTGATAGAAAAGTTGACGAAGTAGATGAGCGCTACAAACAGAAAGTGAATAATCTTCTGATGCAGAATGCAGAACTGCGCAGATTGTTCCGCAGAAAATGTGAGGAGCTTGCAATGGAAAAATATGAAACAGATGAAGCGCACCAGGTGACCATTGAAAAACTGAAGAACAAAATGGAGGTTAGTGGATTTCTTTCTTTTCTGGCTGTCAGGCTTTAATCATTTTAACATGTTCTACTCATTTTCTTCTTCTTCCACAACAGGACTGGATGAGTAGGAAAAAAGAATCAACATCAGGAAATATCAGTGTTCTCCAAGAGACATGGACATCAGCAGGGCCTTCAACAAATGACGAAAACACTTAAATTATTCATTTGAAACACAAAATAAATTTTTGGGCTTTTGTGTTGGACAGAAAAAACATCTTTTAAACAGAAATTGTTATTTAAATTTTCTTTGACAAAAATTATATGAAATGAAAGTGAACAGTTTTAAAATTTTATGTGATATTCAAGATATGGTAAACCTTTTGAAAGTTTTCAGAATCAATTTTATAATTAAAGTTAACAGATTACTTACTATTATTGTTAAATAAAATGTATTGTCTTTATTTTGTGATATTCACAATTATATGTATGTAATTATATGAAGTCATTTTTATATATGTGGCTTGGACAACCAATTCAGGATTTCTATCTTTTGCAAGAACTTTCTATCTTGCAACAACTGAAATTTTAAAGTTGCTTTCAAAGAATGCTGCAAATTTCTCTCTGAATTTCTGGGATGAGGAATTATCATTACTTACATTCTAATACCCTCATCTTTATTGTTACTATCATGTTTCAGCCATTGTACACTGGTTTTCTTCAGATGTTTGTTGATCCAATTAATCTTCAGGGAATTTTGAATTGAACCCTTTATTCAATCTACAGACATAGATTGTTCTCATTCTGTTGTCTATGTCTAGGGATATCTTGTGTTGTCTATGTCTAGGGATATCTTGTGTTGGTTAATTTTCAGTTATTGCTTGTCCTGTTTCCACCAATTCTATTATATCCATTCTACACAGCCCAGGGATTGAACTCACAATTATGTTACTAAATTCACTAACCAACATTTAGTGAGAATCTTGAAGTCCTTAAACTTAATATTAGTCTTGCATTTTCTGCAGCCTTGCTGTCAAGCTTGGCCCACTCTGCCACAGATTCTCTTTCATTTGTATTGCTCTCCTTTTGCTATAGCAGTCTTTTTTGGCTATGCCCCAGTGTTATTAATTACTGGTATTTCTGACACTTGATGCTCTTTTTTAATTAATGACTTCCATATAGTATTAATATCTATGCCATGCCTACTGAGCAGGCTGTCATAGTCCAGCATATGTGCCGATTCTTTCATACATCAGATTCTTCAATGTTCTTCACAATTCTAAATTCTGTGAAGGCTAACTAGATTGATAGACACCTGAAGAAGAGTGGAGAGAATAACAGTCGAAACCATGTTTGTAACAACAAAGATAGGGACTGTAAATAATGTTATAAATGTGTAAAACTAAAAGGTAAAACTTTTTATGGACACATCAACAATTTTAAGTAATAAGCTACTAGAAATCCCCGCAAAAATGAGGTGAAGTTAATATTGAGAAAAAGAAAGAAAAACATTGCCTGAAACAGAATATGCAGAGGAAGGAGTGTATTAAGATAAATTTATATATTTTATTTCTTATTACTATAAACGTTATGGACACATGGCTGAGTGGTTAGAACATTTGCTTTCTAATGTTATTAATGTTCATTTATGTACACTCTTTCTTTTGACCAGAAGACCTAGGCTCGAATCTCACCATGGTTGATTTGTCAGGAAGGCAACTTCTCAATGTTATTAATCTGGAGGAGGCAATCTCAGCATGTAGTATCTTTGAAAAGTGCCTGAAAACAATACCACAGGTTGACCCAAGCCTTGTGAGTTGGGTAGATGGAAACCTTTGGGAGCTGTCGATGATGGTTGTGCTAACACAAAGTAACCAGTCATCGTGACCGAGGGTTTGAGCCTGTTCAGATTGTTGATCATGCCAGATGATGCACTCTTTCCCAGAAACTGTAACTATCTGCTCAGTATAGTTGCAGTATAAATCACAGGTGGGCTCTGTGAGTGTTGGCATCTGCAACAAGAATTAGCTAGCCACCCTAGCAGGTGGGCATCCTTGAATATGAGTGGCCAGCAATTTATCCATCCACTATAAACGTTATTTTTAGTGGGCACACATTTGAATGCTATCCCAGTTTTTTATTTTATTTTCTTAAACAATGAAATTAATAACAACCTTCCTAAATCAAGAAGTCTTATAAAAGAAAAATTGTGCCTCCAAACAGCAATTGAACTTGTATCTCTTTTTCCATTTGGGAAATTGCTTCTATAGCTGAAATGTGCCACTACCAGTTTGACCACAGTAAACTATCTTGATAGATTAAGGTTTGAATTGCCTTTTTAAGGAAAACATATTTCTCATTGGGACTTCTAAACTCTATATCTGGTAGCTTAAGTTTTGTATCCGAAATGTAAACAAGTCATTTTGAGCCAAAACGTGCCTCTAATAGTTTGCCCATAGAAAGCAGTCTAAAAGGGTAAGGTTTGAATTGCCTATTTAATGAAAGCACATTTCTCTACAAATCTATATCTAATAGCTTTTGTTTTGTACCCAAAATGTAAACAAGCCATTTTTTAATGCAATTTTTTTAATTCCACATTATTTCTTATTACTATAAATATTTAGATATAAACATTTAATTAAAGATTCAGAGAAGTCCCAACAAGAGAATAATAAATAATGTTTATAGTTATAAAAAAATAATGGATTTAAAATCCATTCAAAAATATCTTCTCACATAAATGACAAATGTTTTTTATCAGTCATGTCTAAAATTTTGCTCTACTAGATTATCTCCCTATACCAAGTGGTCTTGTTTTTGATATGACAATAGCAGAATGTCTCAAGGAGTTGGGTGTTAAAAAAAGATTAACTCCATGAAAGAGCAAAGTACAAGAACAATTGGAAAAATACATTTAAAATACTGTCATGTTTTTTAGGGTATAAATAAATTAGTGTACGTTTCCTTTTTTTATTATTGTTCATTCACTACAAGGCCTAAGTGCAACTCAAGGTAGAGGGTAACTGAATGGGGGTGTTTTAAGATCATATAGGGAGAGAGAGCAAGGGTTGCCTATTATGAGGATATGTAAGATAGATAATAGTTAACTTGAAGAGATTAAGCTGCAGTGATCAGGGAAGCATTACTTTGGGAGTCTGTTCCTTATTGCAACAATTCTGGGGAAGAAGCTGTCTGGGTGGAACTTTCTCCTTATCAATGGAATATGAAGGGAATGAGGAGGAGTTGACTCAGCATACATGTCCTAGCTGTGAAGGTCTGAACTGGTAGAACCAAAGAATGTATTTCACCTGAACATCTGCCATGAAAATAGCAACAGAGCAGCGTGAAGCTAACAACATTTCATCTGTGGGAAAGGGGTTAAAAACAATTCATCACCCTCAAGGCTATGTAATCACTTTTGGTCTAATCTGGCTCTTGTAGAGATAGCGCATGGCAGGAGGAGTCAGATACTTTCTAGAGTGGTACAGGGAGCTGACCATTTTTGCTGCATCTTTAGTGAGAGATTATATATACAAGTTCTGCTTGCAGTCTGGTGTGAACTTGAGTCTCAATAGATGCTCCAAGCAAGGAACTTCATTGAGAGTACAACCATTCATGACTGGAGAATATGCAGGATTTGATTTATGATGAAGAAACATTACTAACTTGTTTTTTTGTTGATATTTAATTCTACAAATTAGTTCCTCCCCCATTGATTTGTGCAAGAAAAATCAGAGGAGATATCAGCTGCCAGGTTCTGGTTAACTAAACTTTTGGTGGTGCCTCCATAAACCATGGTATCTTTTGCATTTATATTTACTTGCGATCTGAGAATATTCTTATACAGATCTTTAATATATAGCAGAAAATAGGTAGGACTGAGGAGAGAGTCTTGGAGGATGTTAATCTTATGGGTGTCAGTGGACTGGCTATTAACAATAATATTCATGAACTTGTGCGCGTGTATATATATATATATATACACACGGAGGAAAAGGAAAAAATGTATAGCATTTTTTAAGTGAATTTCAAAGACAATATGTAGATATTTGTACATAGACTTATTCAACCAAATATGTGCCATTTCATCCCAGTACCTTTCTCCATTTTTAAGTTGGCCTCATGATTGCATCTTTCTGGGTAATGAACAGGTTGAAGTGGTTTTCATAGACCCTCAGAGATTTGAAGCTCTTCCTCTTAAGAGAATGCTGTGGTAATTAGAATAAATGGCAATCCAAAGGTGTAAGACATTTCAGCTATGTTGGCAAAGAAACATGAGGTCTGGCATTGATAAAACACCTTGCCAATTGCATACCAGCTTTTGGAATTGTTAATGGTGGCTAGTTTTCTTTTTCCTAGGATCTTTTTCACTCTACATTGTTATTAACAATCCATTTTTATTGCCTGCAATTGTTCTTTTCAAAAAAAAAAAAAAAAAAAAAAAAAAAAGGTTATTTTTGTTGTATTTGAACAGAGAATCACTGATCCATTAAATTTTTTCCTGTTAAATTGTGAAGCCCCCAAACATTGTAGCAATTCAAATGATTTACATTGCAGATCTTCCGGATCAAAATTTCCCCTTTTGAGCCTAGCAAATCACTTATGAACTAATGTTCATAAGTGATTTGCTAAGCTCTCATCCATGGCACAATCTCCACATATCTTTTTTGCTGTTTGTACAGCATTTTTTCCTTTTTAGAAATAAATGAGCATCAAATGACGAAAATGCATTTCATTTTTCTCCATTTTCACTTCTAACATAAAAACATAATTCACAATCCACACAAATTTTATTAAAGATGCATTGAAATATCATCTTTCAGAATATGTCATAAATTTCAGTCACATGTGAAATGAAATCATGTGTTCAAACACTACCTACTAAAAAAATGTTATGTAAGGTTATAAAAACATTCATGACATGCTCACACACTTGAAGGTGTGCTGCAAAATTCTTTGCCTGACCCACTTTGAAGAATCTGTCCAAATAGAATTTTTTTAAATCCTGAAAGTTTTAGAACCACTTTTTTTGTGTGTGTATTTGTTTATGCAATATTTTTTTTTATTCATGAAATTAAACAATAATGTTAAATAGAAGTGAGATTGTCTTACCAAAATAAAAGTATCAAATGATTTGCAATTCTTTAAATTAAACAAAACAGAAATATCATCATCTTTCTCATGATCAGGTTTGATGGTCACTGTACAGCTGAGCACTTGACCATTTCACTCTGCATATCTTAGTTATGTGTCAATGACTTTGGTTTCTGCAAAGGGCCTTCTGGTAACAATCATGGGTGATGACCAATGTGGTATGAAAGTTGAAGATGTATTTATTCATGCATAGTGTTTCAAAATATAAATGCAACCAAATGTCATGCAATTTCTCCATCACCCTGTTGTTTTGTCTATCTGAAGAGAGATGTTAAATTAAGTAGTCTTTGTATACAAATCACAAGTTATTAGTAAATCTATAACAGACAAATGAATGCAACAAAATAAAGTTCTCATTAAAAGTCAAATGTAAACTCAGCCCTATATTAATCATATTTCATTTATGACTAGTTCGGATTAATAGGTTTGGTATTTTCATAATTCATAGACAATTGAGTAATATAGAAATTTAAACAAACATGTTTTTATTTCTCTTGAAGTTTTAAAATAAATTTTCAGTAGCAGAAATCAAGTGATTCTTTTATTATCTGGTGTCCTTATCTAATTTTTTGTTTTCTGATAATGTTAAAATCAATTTTATTGAACATCAATCAGCACTTTCATTCAAGTGATATACTGGTCGATTTACTTGCATGGTCATCTTAAAAAGAAAATAGTATTGGTTGGTAGTTTTTAATCTTGTAATATTACAAATACCAACTCATCATACTGTTAACTAAAAAAGTTTTTTTTAAATTTTACTAGTTATATATACTAGAGTATAGTGTGAGTTTTTATGATTAGTTTTTTATGCAGAAAATAGGAGGTTACACTATACATAAGTAATTTTTTTGAAGAGGTTAAAAATCATGCATTTTTGGTGGCCAGCTACACTATACGCAGGTAATTTTTTTTCTGGATGGGTTAAAATTCATGCAAAAAAAAAAAAAAAAAAAAAAAAAATCAGGGGCTGCACTATAAATGATGTCAACTTATACACAAGTATATACAGTACAGTCAGGTATTATGAATCAATGAATAAAAGTTAATTTATTCTAATCTTTTCTGGTTCAAAAAAGAAATTATTCATTGACATTTGAACTGACCTCAGTTAAACAATAGAAAATAATTCCAGTGCTACAGCTTCCAATCCTAATTTCATGTTTCCATCTCAAAAATATTTAGTTAGTTTTTACAAATGTGTGGATAAAGTTGATACACATCGACCCACATTATCAAAGGGAAGAACTGAAACAATTAATGCATGTGTGAATTTTTGGAATGAGCAGTTATTTGCATTCAGACTAACATCCTCATCTTTGTTGTTATCACAATGTTTCTACTGTTAGTCTTCTTCAGGTGTTTTTTTGATATGCGTAACTTTCAGGGAATTTTTATCTGAAGTCTTTATTTAATCTATGTGGGTAGATTATTCTTGTTCCACTGTCCATGTCTGAGAAATATTTTGTCTTGTTCCCATTGAGTTTGTATACTACCCAGCCCAGGTATTGAACTCACAATTACTATTCTACCAAATTCATGAACCAATGCTTAAATCCAATAGGACTGACTTTAAAATTCCCTAGATCAACAGAATACTTGAAGCTGGAGGAGGGGCACAACATTCAAACCATGGCAATAATAAAAGATGAAAACATTAGTGTAAATGTAAATAGTAGTTAATGTGCCGTAGAAAAAAAAATCATCTTCAGTACAAATACTTGTCATATTGATCAAAGAAAAAAAATAAAAAAATGGGGGGGATGTGAAAATTGCCAAAAGAAAAGAAGTGTGTGTGTGTGTGTGTATATATATATATATATATATATATACACACACACGAGAGAGAGAGGGTAAAAAAGACAAGACCAGAAATATGTGAGATAAGTTGCAACATAAATGACAACTGTGAATTGTATGCACACAAAGTAAGACACTGATGATAAGAGAGAAAAGAAGAAAAAGTAAAATAAATTTGGATAACAATGAAAACAAAGGATCTGATGGAATTTGTGTAATTTTATTGTTTGTCAGACCAAAATAATGAATCACAGACATGCTGATAATATCTATATACATTTGCAGGCCAAGCCAATGCTACCTGACTCTGAAAGTCATGGGCCACTTTGCCAGTTACAGAAAACAAATTGATTCAAGGGCAGAAGTTTTTTCATATCCGCATCTTTGTGGCTGGCTTTAAGTGGACACAATTTACAGATGGTAGTCATCAAAAAAAAAATAAATAAATAAATTGTGCATCACAACAACTTGAAAAAAAAAAAAAAAAAAATCAAACTGCAGAACTCATAACAACTGCACTGAGTGGTTAGGCACAATTTTGTCATTGTTATCCCAACCTATAGCTCCATCCCCACAATAAAATTATGTCCCTCAATTTTTTTATATTTTAAAAATAAACAAAATATTTGCAGAAGAGCACAAAATAATTTACCTTATGCAAAAAGGAAAAAATATCTATGAAAAAATACAATCTGCTTTTTAGAAAGCAAGTATTGTTTTAACTGTTAATATAACCTTTTTAAAATTTCATCTGATAAGGAAAGGAAAGAAAAATCAAATCAAACCTTTTCTATTATATAAAGACAGAATAGTTTTAAAAAAAAAAAAAAAATTCTTTATAGAAAAAGAGTTTTTAAAATTCTTATTCTACTCTAGGTATCACAATTATATTGTATCACTAGTTTATAAAAAGAAAGCTCAAAAATTAATATTTTATTAAATAAGGCAAATCAGTAACTCAATAAGAAGTAAGCATTACCTCAACATAATAGTAAATATTTGGATGACAAAAAAAAAAAAAAAAAAAGACATTTTGAGAGTGTCTTTGTCATTCATTTTTAGCAAAGTTGGAATGTTATTTAAATACTTAGTATATGTTTACTTTTGTTAAATTGGACGTTTCTGTGAAGAGTTAATTTTATTTGCTCAATGATAATGTTGGTACTTATGACCAACTTGTGAATATTCCTGTATGAGATTGTTATTCACAAGAAGGCTTTATTGTTTCTACATTATTAACTTGACACCTTTCACAGTTAAACTATATTTCTAAACTACTATTTAATTGGGTCCTTTCATGTTTATGTCTAGCTAAAATGGAATAAAAAAATAATCAGAAAATTCCTTTCATATGAAAATAGTACATTTAGGCACATATTGAGTGATTATGCTTACATCAAAGCAACCAGCAATCAGGTCACTTTCATTTGGATGAATTAATATAAACAGCAGGTTGCAGTTGCATGTGATTATGTGAAGGATATGGAAATAAAAAAAATAAAAAAAAAGAGGCAAACAACAATTAGTCTGTCTAGATACTGTTTATAATTTTGAGAAGAGTTATCATTCAAACAGATTTTTGGACAATTGAACTTTATATTGATTATTCTGATATTTCATCCGATCCCTTCAATTGCCTTCTTGAAGGTTACAACCTGTATGAATGACTGCATCTTTTTTTTTCTATTTTAGTATAAATCCTTGCACTGCTAAAAAATAAATAAAAAGAGAGAAAGATAGTCTTATGAGAGTCATTGAATGAATTGGCCTAAACATTGTAAAAATAAAGAATTTTAAATTATCTGAAATTTTCTTTGATATTTCACTATTCACTGAAAAAAAATAAATAAAAAATAAAAAAGTATGAAGCATTGTGAGGGACGGGAGAAACATCCCTTAAGATTTTTATTCTCAGAGAATTCAAAATTTGCCTTTGATATCAAAATTATAAATGGGTTGTGAGAATTATTTGCCAAATAAAATTTAAAAACCAGTCTGAAAATACCCAAAACCAAAAAGCTTAAAATACTATGTATTTATTATTTGATCTCAGTTTCGGTTTTGAGTTTGAAGCATTTAAGCTGCAAAATCTAAATGGGAACATACAACTTATTAACTAAGAAGAATTATATTATGTTTATGAATAAAATAAACTGTTAATGCTAATAGAAAGAACATTTACACTGGACTTCATTAAATGCATAAAGAAAAGAATTCATCCTTTCTTAAGTTGATGATAACTGTAATCAATTAAGTCTAATAAAAAAAAACCCCAAAAAACAACAAAATTCTTCCTAAACTAAATCACTGACCATCCAAATATCGGGGTAATGCCATTCTTAATTACTGAAAGATTAAATAAACATAAAACTCTAAATATTTGAACATAAAGCATTTGCCAAATCTAAGGCCCAAAGTCATTAACAATTTATATATATATATATATATATATATATATATATATATATAAATGAGCAATAATAAAATCATTGTTGATTTATGAAAGAAATGAAAGCAAGCCAAAATAACAATAGTTGTGATAGTGATGTGTTTTATAATCACATTGAACTCAAGAATTCACAAATCAAATGATTTGGTAAATAGAATGATGCAAACATCATTTGATATTCTAATCATTTCATTGACAATCTTGTATCTTTATGCTGTCCCAAAAGAGATTTGGGGTGGGGGTTCTTACAAAATGCCTGGTATTTCATTTTTTTTCTGCCATATTGCTTCTGACCATGTTTACACATTTGGTGGCTTTCCCTATCTCACTCCTATCATATTTCCAAGGAATGTTTTCCAATTATTAATGTGGGTTTTTATTAATATTTACATACCAAAGCCTGGTATTAAGGGATTTGGAAGCAAATAGCACTTCAAGATGCATGCAATTCAAAGGATTTTATAATCTTTAAGTATCCTTTGATAATTTGTAAGTAGCTTAAGTCATGCTAATCAATCATTAAAGGGTTTCTGCTTGCTCAGGAGGAAGACTACAAGTAGCATTCAGCAAAAACACAACAAACGTGAACCTTGTCTGAAAACAGGAATAAGCAGGTTGGGTCAAATGTTACTTTACTTTAGATATTATTTTATTAACATGGTTATATTTCAACTAAATAAACAAAAAGTATTGAAATAAGAATAAAATGAATACAAATGCTTAAAATTAAAAAATACAAAGGAATAAAATTAAAGAAATATTAAAGTTTAAATGTGTACAAGAGTTAATTGTTAATCAAATAACATTACTGTAAGGTAACTTTTGGCTTACCCTGTATTTAGATATTTCTTTAGCTATCTATTCTCAGAGTGCGTTGATTAAAAAAAAAAATGAAAAAAAAAATGAAATTCTAAGAAAATAAACTATTTCTTTAGATGAATGTCATCAAATTCCCACTAACCTAGAATTTTAAATGATTAGTCAGAAATAATCATTTATACGAGTTACAAATGCAAGATTATATATGTCCAATTACCCAACTGCAAGTGTCTAAATATTATTTAGGTAACAAAAAAAATGCTGTGTCAAATGGATGGTTTTTCTCTTGGTACCACTATTGCTGTAAACTCTCTCTCAGCAATTTTTATTGTTTTTAAAAGCTATTTCTAGAATTTTTAATAAAACCCAAACATAAAACTATGCATTCCTTTTTTTTCTTGAGAATTGACAAAAGAATTAAACACTATTCTTGTAAATAAACAATCTAATGAATAGTATTTAACATTTTTGTTGTCAATTTTCAAGAAAAAAATATATATAACTTCAGATGATCACATCCAATTTTATGTGGCAAGAGCGTGGGAAAGAAATGCCCAGAACATGCATTTTTTTCAAAATTTATAATTACAATTAATCAGTTACATTTATTCAAATTTTCTTGATCTCAGACAATGTTATAAATTTATGCATAAAAAATTGTTTTCATAGTTATTTCTTTATGTTAAATAATAAATATTGCATTGTAGTTGGTCCACATTCTTATAATCTTGTAAATATAAAATTAATCATGTAAACAAACAACCTAATAATAAATTAGTGTTTAAGAATTTTATTGTCAATTCTCAAGAAAAAAGAAAATGCATAAATCCAATTTCATGTTTTAGGTTTTATTAAAATTCTAAAAATAGCTTTGAAAAACAAAAACAAAAAAATGATGTTGGAGTATAGTAGTGTCAAGATAAAAACCATTCTGTTACCTACGTGCAAAAAAAAAAAAAATAAAAACAAAAATGGTGTGTTAAACTTTGCCATTGTTTCTTATTGACACTGTATTGCATGTATCATTTGGTAGTTATGGGACAGTTAAGTTTTGACATAAGGATGAAATTTTCAATGAAAACTGAACTTACTTGTAACAATCTTCTCAGGGAATTTCACTAATCATCACCCTATGGCGAGTAATATCATATAAATCAGGTGAGTATTGAACTTACAAATTTTCAGTGTTTTTGCTTTCTTTTAGTGGTGTTCATTTGAGAATAACAAAAGTTTGGAATATTCAGTCCAACAACAAATCATGAACATAACCTGATGACAGGTAGCCAATGAGAAAGCAAGATTCAAACATTGGTTTAATATTAACCCATTAATGGTAAATGATAGAAATTTCATTCTTTGTAGTTTTATGGTCTCAATTGCAAAGTCATACACATAACTCAATGTAAATGACAAAAATCTGCTTATAAAAGTCACATTTAGAAATTGGCAGTTTAGCTGCTCCTGCCACAGTAAATGGGTTATTTTTCTCCAATGGTATTTTGCCTCATATGCAATGAGAGGCTGCAAAAAAACTGAACAAGAAACACCCATGCTTTATATTTTTAGTTTACATTTGCTCTTTGATATTAAAGAAACAAGATTGATGTAAATATGGCTTTGAGAAAAATGAAATATGTTCTACAGCAAGTGAGGAATACTTGAAGCAGTTCACTTTAAACTAGAGTGTCCTTCAAACAGATATACAATGACAATCTTACTCAAAATATTTTTCTGGAATGTTTGTATATTAAAGCCAAGCTATAGAAGACTTATGCCACAATCTATGCATTTTGCCTACCCCTTCTTTTCTATCTTTCCACAAGTAAGAAAGAAGATTTTTTCCTCAATCACCAGTTCTTGCATTATACAAATGAGTGGATAGAACACATGTGTTCATATTACACAGATATGCTGTGTATTTAATATGTTAAGTTTTCTGGTTGAAATATTAGTCTATGAAGTAAACTAATTTAAAAATAATATAAAAGATGAAAGCAAACTCCTACAGTTTAAGCAGCTGATTATACAAAGTGATTTTTTTTTAGCAGAATAGTTTTCCTCCACATGTAGATATTATTTAGGAAGAAGCTAATATAACAATAGCTTATATAAAAGTTAAAATTATACTTCTGTTAAAACAAGAAGATCCTATTAATAGATAGAGACTTCTTGTGAAAATTACACTATGTAGGCCATGCACATGATTGATGTATGATAACAGAATGAAACAATTTTCCCATATGAAGTTAATGAAGTGAGGAATTATGAAGATTAGCATTTGCCTCATGAAGTGATGAGGAAAAAAAAAAAAGGGTGAGAAATTGATTTTCCATTGAGAGGAGAGAGAGAGAGTAACTCATTTGCAAAAGTGTCCAAAGAGGGTTTCCAATTAAATAAACAAAATTATTCTTCCTCAAATAATATTCATATTTGAAAAGAAAGCATTTTAAATACAGTATTTTATTGCCTTTAGATTTGTTAACCAAGAAAAATATACAAAGAAATTTTCAAAACAAACCTGCTTTTTCTGATTCATTCTTCTGCAAACAAATTTTCCCTGACAGAATAATTGCTTCTTTAGACTTAAAAAACAAAATCCACAAGGCTTCCCTCCTTCCACAACATCATGCAGCTGTATAACCAAAGTTTTTTTTTTTTTTAACGTTTTGAAAAACAAAAAAGGTAAAGCTAGAAAACTACAGGGGAGTCTAAAATTTGTTTTTCTTCTGAGCAAGAAATTTAGTTTCCTATTTTCCTGCCAGTTTCCTATTTTGGGAGCAATTTGTTCATTTAAATCAATTGTGAGAAAACACCAAACACAAAGAACAAGCAACAGAATTGCTATTTTTATTTTATCATTGCACAGCAGAAAATTAAAATAAACCCCCTAAAAACACAGAATGTGATATTTTTAGCAACAACAGAGGCAATCAGTAGAGCATTAGCCTGACAATTAGGCAAAGTGCCACTTGTCTGACTTTAGACAAAATCTGTTGTTTAACATTTGATAAGCCATAAGAGCCAATGTCAAGACCTTGAATGATGAAAATCTTACTGGTCAGCATTATAGTAGAGAGCAAGTTGACTGAATGATTCTGTTTACTCAGAAGACCAGTTATTATTTGAAAACTTTATCCAATTTAAGGCTTTTGAATTTTCATCTTTCATGAACATCTTTTTTGGTCCCAAAACAAATGGAGAAAAAAAAAAAAAAAAAATTGTTTAAAAGTTTTTGTCAAAGTTTTTCTCATGGAGAAAACAAATAAATAAATTAAAGAAACCAACAAACAAAAACGGCTGTTTTGCTGATAGTGTCAGACATTTTTTTTTTTTTTGTCCTCCCATTCACTGTTGTTGCATAAAGATCCACTTGACTCGCATAGTCACATGTTCAGACAATTTCATATTAGAAGATTAAAATGTTGGCTAGAAAGTTTTGGCCTCTTTAATGGAAACCAATTCACATCACTTAATGCACACTGCAATGTAGGAGGCAGTCAGTTGTAGGAATACATATTGTTAATAGTTGAGAAATTAAAAAAAAGAAAAAAGAAAAAAAAAGTTATCACTAACAATGAAGGCCAAAGAAACACAGTAGGTGCAATTGAGATATTGCTGGAATCAATGGAACAATAATGACACCAGCTTAAAATATCCCACCTCCTAATTTTCTCATGTTTAAAACCAACAAATTCTCACTTTTTCTCCTGCTTCTCTCTTATGGTTAGAGAGAATGGAAACAACATTACCATTTTTTATTAATAAGGATTTCTTGTATCTGTTTTTTTTGTCTTTTTTATTTCCTTTATATGTATATATAATTTTTGCTTGTTTTTATTAAAAAAAAAAAAAAAAAAAAAAAAAAACAACAACAAAAACAACAAATTAAAATAATGCAAATAAATAAATCTTTAAAAAAAATATTTAAATAAAAACAATTTTTTTCAATTTTCTTTCTAGTTCAATTACTTATCGATGGTAAGCATAGTTACCATAGGCATAATCTTCTTCCATATTACCATTGCGATAAGCAAGGTGGTAGTCTCCCATTGGAGGATGGCCATAAATTCCCAGAGGGCGCCCATATTCGTCCACTGGTTGGCCATCCACAATAAAACCCAGCTGGGTATCAGGCCGTACATAGGGTTCAAATTCTCCACTATATCTAAAAAGGTAAGAAAGAGAAATCTCTTTAATAAATTGTGAGAACCATTTCTTGTCAAACTGGAAACAGTTCTTGCACATTCACATACATACACTCTAATATTTTAATTTTTATTAAATAAATTAAAGAAAAGTGTCAGATGAAAATTTCAAAATTATATTAAAAAAATGTTTATTCAAGCAAAAAAAATGGAACAAATGAGGCTGCAATAAATGTAATTAACTCAGACTACAGTTTGGCTTGCGCATTTAAATCTTGTTTGAATGTTTTATTCTTTAGCCACTTTTTTTTAATTGCATTCAAACAATAATGATGTGACCTGAAAAAAATCAATTCTACCAAAGGAAATTGCCTCCCTTGGAATCAGCTATATTAATTTTAAAAAGCAAATTGACAAGCTATCAAACTCCGATTCATTTAAAAATCTCAACATAGCAATATCTGATAAAAGAGTCATTAAATTGATCCATTTAAAATTTAAATTATTTGCTCTCTTTGATTTGATTTGATTTATTTAGAGTTCAGGCCAAGGCTAATGATATCTCAGAAAATGTTTACAATTCTAAGATTACGTTCCTAGATTGTTATCAACACATGGAAAACATCAAAGAAACATCTAAATAAATGGAGCGGTTGAAAGAGATGTCTAAATAAAGTAGCAATGAAAAAGTTCATGACCTAAACGCATGCATTTAGTGACATGTTTGACATTTTTACTTCAAATCATTGAATTATACAATTTTATTTTATAATCCTTATATTACTGTACTTCTAGTGTTTGAACAGATTTTAAAAAGCCAAATAATTTCTCCCAAAATGATAACATCAACCAGACTAGCTTGCAGTATCTAAATGTCAGTACAATTAAGTTTAAGAAACTTACAACTTTTAGCAGTGACTAATAGTAGATTTTTTTTCTTTTTACATGTGACAGGTGTAGATTTGGCCTAATTATTAACAGCATGTGAAATAGAATTAGAAGACAAAGTTCAAATTTTGTCTGAGATAATTTGTATACATTTCTTACTAATACTCTTAAGAAAAACCTGAATCCACCCCTGCCATGACGGTAGATTTGTACCATGTAACCTTGTACAACCTGTTGCACATTATTTGAACACAGCCAGGTAAAAATCTACTGCAGTGAGAAATATCAGGGAGAAAACTACAAGGGTTCTCAATCTGATAGCTAATTTGATTGATTTTATGCAGGCTGAAATTACTGGTTTGCTTGTACAAAAAATTGTTCCATTTTGAATTTAATAAAAAATTTGAGAAAGGATAGTTGCTTGTAAGTTTTGAATCTTAAATCTTTCTTGTAATCTTTTTGTTTTCAAAATTACTGCTGTTTATAAGCTTAATTTCTGTAATTATTAAACCATAACATTTATTTTGGATTAATTATCATTAATAATATCTATAATCAAGAATTTTGAATTTTAAAAACAATTGATTTACCCCCCATTTTTTTTTTTAACAGCATTATAGTTTACTATATAAATTATTTAAGTTTGTATGAATTTTAATTAATAATTTCTTGAATATGTAATCCCTTGTGGTACTATGTTGAGTAAAGGATCTAATCACCAAAATGTGAATTCACTTGTCTTGCAAAATTCTCTAACCTACTCCTGAAAATTAGCAATGGAAACCTTCCATTTTGTGGCCAAACCAGACAATCCCAATTCCTCTTGTACTTGGTAAGATTGTTCCTACAGTGAAGTAGCTTCTACTCTTATTTGGCCACAAATGTTGTTAGGTCAGCATGGTTGACTGAGCAAGCAATTCTCTTACCACTGAATACTAATGTCAACTACCTCAACACCTAGGTCATGGGAGTGTTCCTAAGCAACAAAAATAAGTCTGTAGACAGCAAAATTTCTGATGAAGAGGTAGTCATTTACCCTGTCAAGCTGCTTAATTCTCTTGAGCTATTGGGAATGACACCATACCTCATCATAATACTGAGAAACTGAGCTACTCAAGGCTATAAAAGTACTTGCTACATTATAACATGCTGGAATTATCAATGTCACCATCTTCTGTGAACCATACAAAAGAGAAATTGTTCTTATGCCAAGGATCTCATTTATTCTGTCTGAGCTGCTGTATAAGCTCCAATTTTCCCACAAGCTATGTTTTACAATGATCAACCAGAGGCTGAAATTCAAATGTTCCATAGAATCAATGTTGATCTCACTGTGCCATTCTTTTCTCACAGTTATATGAATGTGTTTGTTCAGCAGATTAGCAACATGTAAGATGATCTACTCGGAGACACTGCATTACTGATCGAACAGAGCAAAAACGAGCAGATCTCTATTGTCAGTGCAACATACAAATTGAGAGAATTAAAAAATGTATTTGCTATTTATACCTTCTGAATAATCAGATTAATAATTCTGATAGAGAGCACACTTATTTAACTGGGAGGCTACCTATTTCTACCCAGGTAAAGCTGGGTGTTCCTACTATTATTCATATATTAGTAAATATGAGAGTTTGATTTATAAATTAGATGTAATAAGAGATTAACAACAATAATCAATAATAAAAAGAGAACAATTATAACAATATACAGTAATAAATGTTCCGTGACAAATAGAAGATTTTAGCAGTCTTAACATATGATTTTCTTCCTTCCTTATTAAGATCTTCATTTAAAAAGGTAACAATTTACAGTTTCTCTTTGGCAAATTCAGATTGTCAAGACTATTATTAAATAAATCTAATGAAATATTTGTGGGGTCAAGCACAAATAACTGAAAGCATGGAAAATGAAACAATAGGTAAAGTGGAGACGACTGTACTTACCTGGGATTAAAAGGATTTCCTGCTGTCATCATATAATCAGGATTCCCATTGTATAAGCCATTGTCATCAATGTATTCTGGTGTAATATGACCATCCATCATCATCACAGGGTCAAATCCTGGAACAGAAAGAGAATGAAAATCAAACATTTTGTCTAAAATTAATAATTATTGTTAAGAAAATAGGGGCAATAAGTTACAGCCCACAGATCAGCCAACATGCACAAAATGACTTGAATAGCAGATTTTGTATTCAGAGGAAATGAAGTGAAGAGTGACGTCAGACATGAAGACAGTTAATTTGATAATCATAAATTGAAGGAAGAAGAAAGAAAAAGTGTTTTATTCTAGTATCTAAAATAAAAAAAGTTGCAATAAAAAAGTCCATCTTGGTGTGTCAATAAGTCTATTATTGATTCTATAGCTTCATTGTATTTATGCAACTTAATGAAGAAGTATAAATTGGTTTATTCTTGAAAAGTGTTTTTAATCACCTTTCTATCCATTTTGATTACTTTTTAATGAAGGAGTAACATTTTAATTCTTCAGGGAGTGCATTAAAATTAAAAGAAGATTGAATTTTCAAGTTTTTTGTATTTGCAACAAAGAGCAGATACCAAAAATAAAATTGGGATTAATGTTTCAAAGAAACTGTGTTGAGCTGTCAAAGTATGAAGCTTAATGATTACAAGACAAAAAATCCTTTCTATCTTGAAATATTGTTTTATATAAATGCACTTCAGACAACATTAATAAGTCTGTAAATAACATTTGTTTTATACAAAAGAATTAATGTAAGAAAGAAAATATAAAATCAAATTTAAGATGTATAAATTTATAGTTGACATTTTTAAATTTGTTTTTATTTTAGTTCAGCAACTATTTTGTTATTTATACATTAATTTTAAAAATGAATGACAGAGAAAAACTCAACAGTAATAAAAATATCAGTGTTATATCACTCACTCCTCTGACAATGACATGCACACAAACATATTACTAAAGTAAAAAAAATATGTTGGATTAAAAAATAAAATCCATTAATTCTTTAGAAATTGCTTTGTTTATGTTTCAGATATAAACTGAGTATATATGGCTTTTGAGAAAAATATGAACAAGTGAATGTGCTTTAAGGCAAATAGAATCTTGCTTGTTTGTAAAACTCTCCATAATCAAGCGGTTAAAGCATGCTGGATAAGATAGAGGCTAATCCTGCAAGTGGGGGAGGATGCATGTTCAAATTCTGCCAGAGGACATTTTCTCAAGTGTGCAGGCTGCTAGAGGTGATAAAAACTGTTTAAATAAATACAGTCATTCACTAAAAATAATGTCTGAATATATATATATATATATATCCAGGGAAAATGAGAACAAATGTAGTATAATTCCACTGTATAATTTAATTCAAAAGAGGGCTCAAAACAGAGTAGAATTAAATATTTATTTTAGGATATTAAAACAAAAACATGTTAAAAAATTGCTACACAATTACAATCATGTTTCAACACCACAAAGGTGTCTCCTCGGGCGATGTTAAACCACTGGCAAGTGACAATTTGCTCATCAGTGATTTTGTTTTAATATCCTAAAATATATATATATATATATATATATATATATATATATATTCAGAAAATTAAGTGAAATGATGACTCCTTACTGTCAGCTTGATAGTCATATTGCTTGTAGAAGCATTCATTTACACAAAAAAGAAAGAAAGAGAGAGAGGAAAAAAAACAATCTTTTTTTACCCCCCCTCACAACACTTCCTGCAAATTCTGAAGTCGTAAATTGTTCTTTGCATTTTCCTTGTATCTTCTTGGTGTTCTCATAATTAAGGTAGTACATAAATCTACAGCATCCAAACAGGGACAAAAATCTTTTTTTTTTTTTAATCCTGAACTAATAGTCAAAATTCCAAAAAATTTGATAAAATCATTTGAATATTTTAAGAAACCACATTAACATTGTATATAAATACTTGTTACAAAATAAAATCCTCACATTTGCCTTGATAAATCCCTCAAAGGATGAAACACATTGGCTAAGGTAAGTTTTCCTTTTGTCTTTAATTATATATATATATGTGTGTGTGTCTCTCTCAACTTAGTCAGCTATCTCTTCTTTCTCTACCGTTCTCTCATGACTGTTGAGAACTAGATAGTATTTCCAATAATATACACAAGGCCATTTCCCTACACCTGTTTGCAAATATATTTGTGTTTGGTGAATTTAATGCACACCATACACTGCCACTGACCTGGCTCGAAACCCTTAACTTCTCAATCTCTCATGCAAGTGGTGAACTTCCCACATGTTTCCCTAGTAACAATGATGGACATGCTTCTCTTCTTGATATCTTTCTTATCTCTTAACTTGTCATACTACACAGCTCTGGCCTCTTGGCAATGCTGGTCATGCAGTTGTATCTGTAAACATCTTCTGCTCCCCCCGACAGCCAAGAACCTCCTACCAACAGAATATCTTTCAAACCAGCAAGGAAATACCAAGTTAAACTGCATTCATATCCTTGGTTTGCACCTGCATGCTTGGCTGTTATAGCACACTGGAATCACTTCTTCCAGCTGTACCAGAGTGACTTCTCTGATTGCAATAGACGTCTCTTTATCTCTGCTCAAAATGAGTGCAAGTTTGTCTTCAATGAAGCGAAATTACTGTTTGCTGATAGAATGAAAATATATTTAGCATCTCGCAAGTTCAGTTCTAGACATTATTGGTGGCTCTGCAAGAGTGTGCTAAACAACAGCAAATATTCAATCCCTCCACTAGTCAGTCAATTTGAAGTCTTGATTATCTACAGCAGATAAGGTTGAATGCTTTGCTTGGAAATTCTATTACAACTCAACACTACTCATTTGGAATTCCCACACCCGATTTTCCCCCTAAAACAGAGGCTCTACTAAATGATATGAACATAACCCTGTCACTGGTCTGAGACATTATTTCAAAATTAGACTCCCATAAGGTAAGCTGAGGTGACGGGATCTCAACCATCGTCCTAAAGAAATGGGTTCCCAAGCTAGCTACACTTCTCTTCAAACTCTACAACTATTGCCTCACTGCTTCCTGCTTTCCAGCTTGTTGGAATTCACCCTCTGTAGTTCCTGTTTTTAAGATCTCTGTAGAACCTTCTGACCCCTCTACTGCCCTATTAGTCTCCTATTGCTTTTTGGTAAAGTATTTGAGGCTTTAATCAATGTTAAAGTGGTTAAGCATCTTACTTCTCCCAACCTACTCTCTGACAATGGCTGATACTCTCTGATATGGCTTCTGTTTTGCCTGGTCTACCGCTGATGTGTTTGCAGCTATCACTGAATATGTATATAAAACTCTTGATAAGAATGGCAAAGCTTGAGCTGAATGACAGGGTTTGGCATGCTGATCTTCTACATAAGCTTCAGGGTTACAATATTACAGGACAATTGTTTGATTTAATCCAATCATTCCTGTCAAATTGTGAAATGAAAGTCTTTTGAATGGTCTTGCTTCCAGATCCTTTCATACAAACGCAAATGTACCCCAGTGCTCTATCTTGGGTCCTACACTCTTTCTGATCGTCATCAATGATCTTCCTGATGTCATCAGTTCCCAAGTAGGCATTTATGCAGATAGCACTACCATTTACTCCTGTCTCAATAGCAAATCTTGGTCCTTGCTCTTGAAAAAGATCTCCAATCAGTGGTTAACTGGGACAGGAAATGGCTTGTAAATTTGAATGTCTCCAAAATGAAACTGCTCTCATTTAACCATCAGAGAGAAACTTCCCTACCCATCATCATCATGGCTGATTCTTGACTCCAATAACACCTGGGAATTTAGACTAAGATATCACAGTGTGATGCACTCCAGCGCATCACATTGTGCTTTCTTATCTTCACAGTTTCAACTACTTGAAGTGCAACACCTACATTAAATCAATAACTACATCTACTGCAAGGAAAGTTGGTTCATTTTGGTGTTGTATCAGAAAGTTCTTTTTGTTAGAGTCTATCTTGCACATTTACAAATCTACTATTCAGCTGTGCATTGAATACTGTTGCTATATCTATCTAATGCTCCTGTTATTCATCTCAAAGAAGGATCTGCAATGTAATCGATCCTGATCCTGACTTGGCATCTTGACTTCAGTCACTTTCTTACATATGTGATATGACTTCCCTCTGTCTTTTCTACAAATAATTTTATGATAACTGCTCTGACAAGCTTTTTGAATGAACCATTAACAAACAACATTTATGTCTCATGTTTTCTGCTTATCATCAACTAAATTGAAAATACAAGGGAGAATTTAAAAAACAAAAAAAGATAAACAAGCATGAAAAATTTAGTCATGAGGTAAGTGAGATAATTGTAAACAAAAATTCTTTTGATAAAGACATTAAAAACTTTTTTGATTGGGAATATATGGAATGTTCAAATATTCTTTGAGCAGAAAATGAATGCACAAAGCAAAATTCTTAGTCTGATAAAAGTTACTCTGAACACAAAAAATTAAGAACATTTCTGTGTAAAATTATTCAAGGCAATTTAATTGAAATGTTTAAATAAAAATAAAGATTCTATTTTTAAACAAATCCCAAGATTTAATTAATTTGTTTTTATATTTATTCATTTTTAAAACTTTAATATTTTAGCTTTTATATTTTTAAATTTATTTCCTAAACAATTTAATGGCATTTGTATTATGCTTCTAAAACTATAAATGATAACCAAGTTATAAAAATTGATTCCAGGATGGTTAAAATAATTTTTCAGCATGATGAAAGTTGTTTTTTTGGGACAGTTCCAGAATAATGGTGAAAAAAGTTGGTCTGGAGTTCTGGTAGCAGTACTGTTGCAAGAGTTGCTGAAGTACACCATCTTTTGGGACCCCAATCTGCAGGATTTACTTCTTAACTTTCTCTTCACCCCAATGTATGAATCAGTGGTCTGTTGGTTTAGTCTATAATGATCTTTGTCCAATCATCTTATATTGCAGCCATCATTGTGTGAGAAGTACACATCTAATATCTTGTCAATTTTTAGAGGTAAGAATTCTACATGGACAGGGAATATTTTTCTGGCGCTTTTGTAAAAATTTATATTTAGTTTACCCTTT